TTAAAAATTTATAAGTTCTTAGACCACATTCATTCTGTGTCAGAAACCTATGCTGTGTCAAATATTTAATCACAATCCAAATTCAGTGTGTATCAAGCTTGAATGTTGTGTCCATACTTGCCCCAACTGTTCAGGGTTCGACCTCTGCGGTCGTATCAAGCTGTGCCTAGCGGAGCATTTTATTTATATTATCTTAAAACCTCTAAAAATAGAGAAAATTTGACCGGGCAGAATTGTTCAGTTTGTGGAGATCTATAGCTACCTACTGTTCATTTACATCAAAACTCTAGACTTTTCTTAAAAAATGTTCTCTCAAACTGCTCAATCAATTGAAACCATAGTTTGTCTGCTTCATCTATAGGGTGATTTATGTCCAGGTTTAATCAACCAACATGGCACCTGGTAAAAAAATAGGCCATAGAGGTCAAACTACTGTTTTGTCTAATATCTCTAAAACTATATAGGATTAATAGAAAATGTTATTGGATAAAAATTGTCAGGACAACAAGTTGTATCTACTGAGAAAATTTTGGGAAAATCTCCACCTGTCTGGAGTTATTTCCCTGAAATGTAAATTAATAACTTTTTTTATGCCCCCGCCGAAATATAGTTGAATCAACTACAATCAATGCTTTATACAATGCAATGTTTAATTTTGACTTCCACTGATAAAACACAGATCAAGTTGAATTTGGGTAGTGTCACTTTAACCATTATTGAGTTATGCCCCTTTATAAATCGAAAGATTGCAAAATTTTTAGTTTCCATTCTGTTACTTAAGTTTGTCCCAACCAAACATTATGAAACCTATACACAAGATTCATTACCACAAAACTAAGATCAAGTACAAATTTTTTGTTTCCGTTTTCTAACTTTAGTTTACCTGAACCAAATGTTATGAAACTTATACACAATGCTTATTATTACATAATACAGATTAAGTACGAAATTTGGTGGTGACACTTTTACCATTCTTGAGTTATTTCCCTTTATAAACATAAAAATTGCTGAATTTTTTAGTTTGTCTCTACCAAATGTTATAAAACTTATACATAACTGTTCTAGAGTTATGCGTGTTTACAAATAGAATAAAATGCTCCGCTGGGCGCAGCTTGATACAACCGCAGAGGTTGAACCCTGAACAGTTAGGGCAAGTATGGACACAACATTCAAGCTTGATACAGCTCTGAATTTGGATTGTGATTAAATATTTGACACAGCATAGGTTTCTGACACAGAATGAATGTGGTCTAAGAACTTAAAAATTTTTAATTTACCTATTATGGTCCAATATCCAAAATCTAAATACATAAAATTGAGAATGGAAATGGGGAATGTGTCAAAGAGACAACAACCCGACCATAGAGCAGACAACAGCCGAAGGACACCAATGGGTCTTCAATTCAGCGAGAAACTCCCGCACCCGGAGGCGTTCTTCAGCTGGCCCCTAAACAAATATGTAGACTAGTTCAGTGATAATGGACGTCATACTAAACTCCAAATTATATACAAGAAACTAAAATTAAAAATGATACAAGACTAACAAAGGCCAGAGGCTCCTGACTTTGGACAGGCGCAAAAATGCGGCTGGGTTAAACAGGTTTTTTGAGATCTCAACCCTCCCCCTATACCTTTAGCCAATGCAGAAAAAACAAACGCACAACAGTACGCACAGTAAAACTCAGTTTAAGAGAAGTCTGAGTCCGATGTCAGAATAGGAAACAAAAGAAAATAAACAAAATGACAATAATACATAAATAACAACAGACTACTAGCAGTTACTGACATGGTTAGATTCAGCATATCAAAGAATCCAAAGAATTCATTTTTTGATGAAATCAAACAAAAGTTTAATTTTGGACCCTTTTGACCTCAATGTGGACCAATTTGATAATGGGGTCCAAAAATCAAAATACATGGTTAGATTCAGCATATCAAAGAGCCCCATATATTCAAATTTTGCGGAAATCAAACAAAGTTTAATTTTGGACCCCAACTTGGACCAACTTGAAAACTGGGCCCATTATCAAAAATCTAAGTTTAATTTTGGACCCTTTTGACCTTAATGTAGACCAATTTAAAAAACGGGACCCAAAATTAAAAATCTAAATACACGGTTAGATTTGGCATATCAAAGAAACCCAATAATTCAATTTTTGATGAAATCAAACAAAGTTTAATTTTGGACCCTTTTGACCTCAATATGAACCAATTTGATAGCGGGGCCCACAAATAAAAAATCTAAATACATGGTTAAATTCAGCATATCAAAGAACCCCATTTATTCAATTTTTGTTGAAATCAAACAGTTTAATTTTGGACCCTTTGGACCTTAATGTAGACCAATTTGAAAACTGGACCCAAAATTAAAAATCTAAACACACGGTTAGATTCGGCATAACAAATAAGTAAATGTGGTCAAAGATTTTACAAATCTAATGCGCCATACTGTGCACTTAAAGATTACTTCTTGAAATTTTTCAATATTTGAAATTTGAAAAAAAAAATATTTGAAGAATAATTCTTTTTAATTTCTGAAATCTGAAATGAGAAAAAAATTGACCCCCCACAATTTCTTTTTATCCCCCCCCCCCCCCCCTTTTTCCCCAAAAAAATTCTTTCCCTCAAGATATGGTCATAATCTCAATTCAAATTTCCAATGGAGTTTGCAACCATAATTACCCATTTAAATTTACCATAGTGCTAACTTAATCTATTTTATAATAAAATTTAAAATATGGTGTCAAATCTTTCATATGGATTTTTTGGGGAAAAAAAAGATGCAACATTTGCAGATATTTTTACTGGTCTTCCTTTATAAATATGCATTTCTTCAAACATAATTTAAAAGGAGTGTAAGGGAAGTAATCAAAACGTATTTGGATTACCTCCCTTACACTTTTAAATTGTCTTAATTGTTCATTAACCATTACTTTATACATACTTTAAAAGCAGTGTAAGGGAGGTAATTCAAATGATGTCTTTGATTTATCTCCCTTACCTGCTTTAAATTATGTTTTGTACTAAAGTATTTGTCCATTAACCAGGACAACCTTGTTTTTCTCCCTTTTTTGCACCTAATTCCTAAACGGTTTGAGCCATAACCCCCCAAAGCAAATCCTTACCATCCCTTTGTGGTATGGAAACTTGTGGTATAATTTCAGAGAGATCCATACACCGTTCCACAAGTTATTGTCTGGAAACTAGAAAATGCTTATTTTTGGCCCCTAATTCCTTAACTGTTGATACCATAACCCCCAAAATCAATCCCAACCTTCCTTTTGTGGTATTTAACCTTATGGTAAAATTTCATAGAGATCCATTCACTTAAACTAAAGTTATAGTGTGAAAACCAATGTGTCTTCGGACGATGACGACGCCAATGTCATACCAATATACGATCGCAAAAATTTTTTGCGATCGTATAATAATTGCTGAAATTTTAGTTTCTGTTCTCTACTTAAGTTAGCCTCAACCAAATGTTATGAGACTTACACACAATGCTTATTACCACAAAACTCAGATCAAGGTCAAATTTGGGTAGCGTCACTTTTACCGTTCCTCAGTTATGTCCCTTTATAACTATATGATATGCAAGCGGGGGCATCATCTGTGTCCACATGTGGACACTATCCACATTTATTTTTCAATTCTTTGCCATTGTTTCAAAAACTAAAGTTAAAAGTGTAAAATGCAAAAATGATAAGCTTAAGGTGTAACCACCCTGAAAATAGGAGAAAAATCTTAACTATACATTTTGGAGTTATTGCCCCTGACATAGATTTTTTTAGCAGTTGTTGGTCATTATTCTGAACACTGTAGGAGCTAGGTTGAAATTATAAATTGAAAGAAAGGATCAGCACAACACAATGTATCTACCCTGAATACTGGAGAAAAATCTGTCAACTTTGTTTGGAGTTATTGTTCCTGAAATGTTGATTTTTACTGTTTTTTTTATCAGTTTTGGTTGTTATCTGAAAACTTATAAAGGAGTTGTGTTAAAAATTTAAATTGCAAAATTGCAAAAAAAGACCAGCAACACCAAGGTTAACTATAGTATGTGCACATAAGAGTTTTAATTAGCAAACTGGCAATGTTTTTACCAGATGTAACTCTTGTTTTATTAATTAAATAGGTATTTATGAAAAAGAAGATCCCTCCTAACAAATCTCCCTCAGTATAGGATTGTGTCTATCTTAATGCCAACAGATTTTTCTCTTATTTTTATGATGTTAATACTTCTAATATTACATAATACATTTTGACTTATGCCACAAATATTTTTTTGTCAGCTTTTTGGTGCACAACGTTTGGTGCATTTACGTATCTAAAACTGCACAAGGACAAAGTTATTCCTGTACCTAATGTACTCAAAATATGACTGATGATCTATGTCCTACTTAAAAAAATTTGATGTGGTCAGGTTAAAACTGTGTTAAATAATTCACTCATATCTGCACGATTTTCAGTAATTATCATGATAATGAATCCGTTTCATTTCATCAATCAGAATTATTAATATTACTTTTTATGCATAAGTTTTACCCTTGTCCATTTAGATTTGTATGTCCCGAAATTGTTTTTTGTTTTTTAACTTTAGTTTGCCTCAACCAAATGTTATGAAACTTATACATAATGCTTATTACCACCAAACACAGATCAATGTTGAATTTTGGTGGCGTCACTTTCACCATCCCTTTATAAGCGGAAAAATTACTGAATTTGCTGTAAATTTACAAGCGGGGGGGGAGGATCTGTGTCCATGGGACGCATTCTTCTTTCATTTTAATGTCCTTTATTAGAAAATTCAAGTGCAGAATTCAAATAAAGAACATTATGAATGTGTTTATTATAAGAAATGGCTAAAAAAACTTTGACAGGAAGGAGCTAATAATATTGCACCTTATTGGTCTTGGAAAGTCACTGACTATTTCAAGCACAGTTGTACCTAAACCTGGTTTCTGAGGAGCATTTAACATTTATGATTTGCATTCTTGCAGGTGATAGAGAAAGTTTCCAAGAACCATTTGAAAATTCTACATCATCACCAGGCAAATTTGCATTAGCTTTTTACTCAGGATTGTATTCTTATGCAGGATGGTAAGATTCAAATTTTAGAACAGCACATAAATTAAAATTTAAAACTTCTCTAGATCTTAAGAATACTAAAAAATGTACAGTTTAAAGAATTTTTTTTCAAGAAAACACTGGAAAATATTCAACTGAAGTATGCATGATCAATAAAACTGTTGCTGGGTCTATGGTTTTCTCTTTTGTGTTTTGTTTACTTTTTTTTTTTCTTTTGTCTTTTGATCGTTTTTTATTTTTGGTATGGCATTGTCATTATTTTTTGAACTAATGAGTTTGAATGTCCCTTTGATAACTTTCGCCTGTATTTTGAAACATTGAGCTGTGATTTAAAAAACATAGCAAACACAAGTCAATAATATTTCTTAAACTTGCATGATAGTTCAAATCCCATTCTATATAGTGACACCATGTATTGAATAAAATGCAAGCTGACTTCCATTTATATAGTAATTATATTTGAACTTGTGAAAAAAAATCTGTCTGTTGTTAAGGCTATTATGTTGACTTCTAGATGTCTTTTGGTTTTTCATGTCTGGGTTGCTGTCTCATTGATGTATAACCCATATCTCCTTTTATTCATATCTTATAAAAAAGGATTATGATAATGAAACTTGTCTTTATACTTCAATGAAAACACACACTTTATAAATTACATGCCTCTAAAGTGCTTTTTATACGGCCGCAAAAAAAATTTGCGGTCGTATATTGGTATGACGTTGGCGTCATCGTCGTCGTCCAAAGACACATTGGTTTTCGCACTCTAACTTTAGTTTAAGTGAATGGATCTCTATGAAATTTTACCATAAGGTTCAATACCACAAAAGTAAGGTTGGGATTGATTTTGGGGGTTATGGTACCAACAGTTAGGGAATTAGGGGCCAAAAATAAGCATTTTTGTAACTTCCAGACAATAACTTATGTGTAAGTGTATGGATCTCTCTGACATTGTACCACAAGGTTCCATATCACAAAGCAAAGGCTGGAATTGATTTTGGGGGTATTTGCCTCAAAATTTTAGGATTTAGGGGCTAAAAAAGGGGCAAAAAACAAGCATTTTTTCTAGTTTCATGACAATTACTTGTGTGTAAGTGTTTGGATATTTCTGAAATTGTACTACAAGGTTCCATATCACAAAGGGAAAGCTGGAATTGATTTTGGGGGTAATTGCCTGAAACGTTTAGGAATTGGGGGCCAAAAAGGGGCCAAAAATAAGCATTTTTCTTGTTTCCAGACAATAACTTGTGTTCAAGTGTATGGATCTCTCTGAAATTGTACTGCAAGGTACCATACCACAAAGGGAAGGATGGGATTGATGATGGGGGTAATTGCCTCAATATTTTAGGAATTAGGGGCCAAAAAGGGGCAAAAAACAAGCCTTTTTCTAATTTCAGGACAATAACTTGTGTGTAAGTGTATGGATCTTTCTGAAATTGTACTACAATGTTCCATATCACAAAGGGAAAGCTGTGTTTGAGTTTGGGGGTAATTGCCCTAAACGTTAAGGAATTTGGGGCCAAAAAGGGGCCAAAAAACACACTTTTCTAGTTTCCAGACAATAACTTGTGTTCAAGTGTATGGATCTCTCTGAAATTGCACTGCAAGGTACCATACCACAAAGGGAAGGCTGGGATTGAGTTTGGGGGTGATGAATCATAAGGGGGTTCAAAAAATTTGGGGGGGGGGGGGGGGTTCCTTTTTTTTTTCTTTTAAAATTTTCCATTTTAAGTTGGTTATTTCTGATTTATATTTAAAAGCAAATAATAATGATATGGTAGGAGATACACACCAAACAGGATGTGTAAATTATTATATAATAAGTATTGTGCAATAGCAAGAAATTTTCAATTGCACAGTATTGCACAATAACAAGAAATCTTCAATTGCACAGTATTGCGCAATAGCAAGAAATCTTCAATTGCACAGTATTGCGCAATAGCAAGAAATATCCAATAGCACAATATTGCGCAATAGCAAGAAATTGTCAATTGTACAGTATTGCGCAATAGCAAGAAATATTCAATTGCACAGTATTGTTCAAAAGAAGATACTTCGTATAAATTGCTTATTTCTTGACCAATTTCAATGGGGTTTTATTCTTGAATTCTTGGGGTTCTTTAATATTCTGAATCTAACTGTGTATTAAGTTTTTGGATTTAGGGCCCCGTTTTTAAATTGGTCCACATTGAGGTCCAAAGGGTTCAAAATTAAACTTTGTTTGATTTCATCAAAAATTGAATTATTGGGGTTCTTTGATATGCCGAATCTAACCGTGTATTTAGATTCTTAATTTTTGGTTCCGTTTTCAAATTGGTCTACATTAAGGTCCAAAGGGTCCAAAATTAAACTTAGTTTGATTTTAACAAAAATTGAATTCTTAGGGTTCTTTGATATGCTGAATCTAAACATGTATTTAGATTTTTGATTATGGGCCCAGTTTTCAAGTTGGTCCAAATCGGGGTCCAAAATTAAACTTTGTTTGATTTCAACAAAAATTGAATATATGGGGTTCTTTGATATGCTGAATCTAACCATGTATTTAGATTGTTGATTTTTGGGCCCCGTTATCAACTTTGTCCACATTGAGGTCAAAAGGGTCCAAAATTAAACTTTGTTTGATTTCATCAAAAATTGAATTCTTGGGGTTCTTTGATATGCTGAATCTAACCATGTATTTAGATTTTGGATATTGGACCATAATAGGTGAATGTCCAATTTAAAATTTTTAAGTTCTTAGACCACATTTATTCTGTGTCAGAAACCTATGCTGTGTCAAATATTTAATCACAATCCAAATTCAGAGCTGTATCAAGCTTGAATGTTGTGTCCATACTTGCCCCAACTGTTCAGGGTTCGACCTCTGCAGTCGTATCAAGCTGCGCCCTGCATTTTCCACTTTTTCATGAAACCTTAAGTGCTTGTGAATAATATGACAGAAAAAAGGAATTTGAACTTTCACTGAGAAATAGTAACATATGAAGTAACTCGAAATAATACAATCCCTGTCCATGTCCAATTTTCTCCCACGCAAGTAGTGGAATATAGCGACTGAATTGTTCGGGTATTATATGAAGTAAACATCATCCTTGATAGCCAGGAAATCATTTGATGGCTTAGCAGGATAATTTATATAAATTCTTTACAATGTTCAACATGCCGGTACTGTGCATGAATTATTATTTATTATCATGGTAATATATGAAAATGAGGACATTTGGTGTACAATTACTTAATTAAGGTAGTCAATGAGGCAACAATTTCTCAAAATCAACATAATAAAAGAGAACATCCATTTGGTTTAAAAATATTAATGTAATAGTACAAAATTTAGCTGTAAATGCATAACTTAGGCCAATAAAGTATATATATTTGTTACCTGACTATATATATGCAAATATTCTGGACTTTAACAGTGCTGACCAAAAATGTCTTAACTTTAACCAGGTTTAACCAAAAATTTCATACAATGTGTAAGTGTAGCATCGCAAACTTAGAGTTGGTAGTATAGGAAACAGAACTTTGATAATTTTTTTTGACTGTCAACAAATTTTGTCAATTAAAAAAAAATGACTATAGATTCAGGCATATCAATTTTTGCTGAATATTTAAAAATTTAAATCAGGTAAAATGTTGTTAGCGGTTACCTACAATTGTTTTTATCTTCGCCATTTGAACTCTGATGGATAGTTGTCTCATTGGCGATCGTACCAAATATTATTTTTATATTAATAGTTGCTTGTTAGTATTTATTTGCATCACATTTTTACTACATAAATATGCAGATTTGAAATTATGATTCTATTTAAATTTCAGGAATTATTTAAATTTTGTAACAGAAGAATTAAAAGACCCATATAAGTAAGTATTGTTATGGAACTGCAGTCTGCACCAAAAACCACTAGCAAGAAGCTCCTACCTTAAAATATTGGTTTGACCTAGTGACGCTTAAAATAGAAATTGTTTAGACATAGTGAATAATTTTCTTGAAAAGAGCTTTCAGACTAGTTGATATAAAAGTTTTTGGAACAGACAAACTGTAAATGAAAAAAAGTCAATAGTTTAACAATTTACATAACCAGTTAAGATGAGCAAATTGGAAACTTTGTACATTTTTATCATAAATGGACAACCTTGACCTATTTTCAGACAGTTTTATTTAGATTGACTGAAAAGGTAAGATGCACCCTGCTGAATTATCACTGAGTATGTGATAAAGAGTTTGTCATTGTCAAATGTGTGTAGATAACCCCAAGACACTCTACTACTATAATATAACTGTCATGTATTGGTAACAGTGCCCCCTCATCAAATAAACAATTATCATGTAGTATAAATACGCAAGTATGACAGCAGTAATTTTGAACCCTATTTTGTTTTGATAATGTAGTAATTAGTATGTTTGTATATTCTGTGGATAAATTAGGATATTTGAACATGCATGAAATATTTGCCACTGGACGTTGAGCAACCATCAATCAATCAATCAATGAACTAGGATCAAGAAAAAAAATATGTATCTGATATCTGCTACTTGGACAAATATATGCTGTTTTAAAGTTAATTCCGTAGGTTTTTCATTCTGTATCATTAAAGCAACCTAGAATTGTATTGTGTTGAATACTTTTTAATTCATTGCTTATTTCTATTCCTTATAGATATTTAGTATCGCACTCCTGTAACCCCTTTCTCATATGACCTTATAATTCAGCACAGGAACTATTGCATTAGTAGAGCCTTGTCCACTTGGGAGGTTTAATTGCACAGATGTGTGCAGACCTCTCTCGAAAACATCTTTATTTGCCATTTATAAAATGAATTAACACTATATGCTTTGATCAGTAAAGATTGATTGATTGATTGTTGGTTGCTTTACGTCCAGTGGCAAATATTTCATGCATATTCAGGACGACCAATCAATAAAGATTGTTTGTAGCGTCTGTATTATCCTTAAACTTTCTTAAACTAAAACCAAATATGTTTAGATTTGAGATTTGTTTTCATTATATTTTTATGGTTGAAAGCTTAAATTACAAAATTTAGGAAAAAATGCTATATGGTAAGAAATTACAATAAATAAACAATAATGATAAAGTTTAAAAAGAGGAACCATTTTTTCTCTCGAACATGCAAATTAACTAGATGTTTTTACAAGGAATTATTTGAATCCGGAATAATTTTAAATTGTGGGAAATTGATAAGAAATGTATGATGAAAACTAACCCATTGAGGGTTTTCCATTGTTCTGACTATTTTCACTGATATTTCAGTATGAACTAACTGACTCCCTTCAAGCCATGTGCGCATGGCTAACCCACCTTAATTGGCTTAGTTTTCATCATACATTTCTTATCAATTTTCCAGAATACAAAATTATTCCAGATTCCAATAATTCTTTGTTTATTATAATTCAATGTGCAATTTGAACGTCAGATGAACTCCTTATAGGACAATTTTTTTAGTTGTTTTGGTCTGGAATTCACAGATCTTAAACTAGTTCGTTTTAAGTTTCTTATCCTATTAAAAACTCATTTGAAGGTGAAACAAAAGTGGATACAAAAGCATTAGGTCAATAACAACCTTTGTTTCCATGCGTATTTACAACTTACGAAAAGCATGACTTTATACCATAAATCAATATTTCCTAATCTCTATCAACATACCATTGTATAGTGTCTTTCTTTATTTGTGTGTATAAAAGGACAAGTATTTAAAAGAAGGATAAGACAGTGTTTCCTTTGGTGTTATTTTGTATACTTTACAAAAATAAAGATAATGAAGTTATTGGAATGTGTTTGTTTAAAATACTGTTGATCCATCAGGTACATCTATCACACCTAAAAGTACAATGCTTATATTCAGCATCAAAAGTGTTAAATTCCCCTCTTATTGAATATTGGTTTACACCAAATGAATTGGTTAGTACCAGCTGTCCAAGTCAAGATCCTAAAAAAAAAATTTTCTTTTCATTTCTGAATGTTTCAGTTTATTTTTGATTTTTTATTATGTATGTTGTACATGCACTCGATTTTTTAGGAGTGCACATTATTTTTTGCAGTCAATTGACATCCATTGTACAGACGCAAATTCTTCACTATACATGTACATATGAATCACGATTGTAGTAACCAAATTATAAACTGTCATAATTTTTGGCAAATTACCATATCCTTCCACCATAACAAATAGGGCGAATGTTCCTTGTATGGTACTTTTCAAGAAAATTACTTTAGTCTTGATCTAGTGTCAGGGGACTTGACTTAGTTTTACATTGAAGCCTATAGAAAATAAAAAAAATGTTAAAACTTCAAAGTCTTGAGAATAAAGTGCTCAGCCAACCTGTTACAGAATAAAAAGATTGACTGTGAATATTTTTATGCCCCCGTCGTACCGGAGGGGGCATTAAGTTTTACCCTTGTCCGTCCCATCCGTCACGTACATCCCCAAAATGGTTTCCGTTCTATAACTTTAGTTTGCCGCAACCAAATGTTATAAAACCTATACACAATGCTTATTACCACAAAACACAGATCAAGTTTGAAATTGGGTGGCGTCACTTTTACCGTTCATGAGTTATGCCCCTTTATAAACATAAAAATTACTGAATTTTTCGTTTCCGTTCTCTTACTTTAGTTTGCCTCAACTAAATGTTATAAAACTTATACAAAATGCTTATTTCCACACAACACAAATCAAGTTCGAAATTGGGTGGCGTCACTTGTACCGTTCTTGAGTTATGCCCCTTTATAAATGGAAAAATTGCTTTATCTGTCGTTTCCATTCTCTAACTTTAGTTTGCCTCAACCCAATGTTATGAAACTTGTACACAATGCTTATTACCACAAAACACAGATCAAGTTGGAAATTGGGTGGCGTCACTTTTACCGTTCTTGAGTTATGTACCTTTATAAATGGAAAAATTGCTAAATCTGTCGTTTCCGTTCTCTAACTTTAGTTTGCCTCAACCAAATGTTATGAAACTTATACACAATGCTTATAATCATAAAACGGTCTTAACTACATGCATCCTGCATCTGTATGTGGAAGTTGACTCATGCATATTTACAAGCGGGGCATCTGTGGCCCATAGACACATTCTCCATTTATTTTTCCATGGCATCTGATAAGTATTTATCATTAAAAATGTGTGAAATCAGGAAAGCTACAACCATTACAATTTTATCTTTTCAGAAATTTACCACGTGCAATAGGCATTTCAATTCCATTAGTGACGATTATTTATTTGTTAGCAAATGTTGCTTATTTTGCTGTACTGACACCCGCAGCCATGTTGGCATCAAATGCTACAGCAGTGGTGAGTAGAAGAATCAATAATTTATTTTATACACATTTAAAATGTATTATTAGTTTGGCCATTTTGGAGTGTGATAAGCAGGGACTTTAGTGCTTATTGCCTTTGACACTACCGAAAGGCCTTCTAGTATAGTCCTGAACATGAATGAAATATTTGCCACTGGACGTTAAGCAACCAACAATCAATCAATCTTGTATTCTTTTACACATGGCCTTTGGTTTCTTTATCTTCAAAGTATTCCATATTAAAGTTTAAAGCTAAAAATACACAATTTCTCAGTATAAGCGTTGTTATGTTCTTTATTTTTCTTGTTGGTTTAACACCCAAGAAATTGAAAAGCACTACAATTTTCCAAAATATAAAATATTTGAATTGAGTCTACAAAATTAGCAGTAGCACCTAAGAATGTCTTCTGTCCTGGGTAATCTATGCACAACCTTTTTCTTGTACCCTCCACTAACTCTTCATTATTTTGGTACATAGAATACAGTTTTCCTCAATTTATTAATTTTCATATTTTCTCCGGAAAAGGCATTATGTTAACAATATCATTCTTTTGTTTTACACTTATTATCTGGAATTGGTAATAAGGAACTACTACCAAAGATAAAGCTAAGCCAATGAACTTTTACAAGTAATTTTACAAAACATGATTGAATTAGTTGCACAAACAACATACCTGTTACATATTTTGGTTTATAATCTCAAAACATGTCATGTTTCAAAACAGATAACCAGGTTGATGTCATATTTAGCAATTCAGTTAATTGAAAATGAAGCCAAAATGAAATTTTGTCTCAATGTGCTAATAGAATAAAAAGATTAGAAAAGTTCAATTTCTGAAGAATGAAACTTACATTACACCATGAAACACTCTGAACTTGCCGATCTTTGAGCTCTAGTTTGCTAGAGACGACAGGAATGTAACATCAGCTTGTGCATCCTTCTTAAATTATTCTAGGTTTGGTAGAAAAAGTATCTGTCACCATTTCTGTGTGACACTTTGCCTTGGACCTGGTTTAAATCATACGACAAAGGGAACTGAGGAACAATCTGTTAAAAAAGAGATCGTAAATATCGTGCAAGGAATTTTTCAAACAATGTTCTTTATCGATAATTTTAATTCCAGACCTTGAAAGTGATTTTTTTTTTTTTAATTTTTGCGATGTTGAGCACTCATAATCAGGCAATATGCTATAATTGATATTTTTATATTACATCTAAATTTCATTTCAGACATTTGCAGAGAGAACATTAGGTGTCATGTCATGGATCATGCCTGTTTTCGTTGCCTGCTCAACATTTGGTGGCCTTAATGGTGCTATCTTCACATCAGCAAGGTAAATTTACCAAAAAACTCTGAAATGTTTCTGTAGTTAAAAAAAAAACCTATCTCAAATCTTCTATTGTTGTACCACTTTCAAATAAAACTTTCCAAACTTTTCAGACTGAAAGATATATTAATATTTCTTACTCATGGAAAATACTACAATTTTGTTAGAGAACCATGTAAACTATTGTTTAAGTCATGGATTTTATTGAGTGGTAATTTTTCTAAGGTATTGCAGTACTGCTTAATAAACATGTAATTCAATAAGTTCATGACCCTGAACAATTTAAATAATTTTGAATGGTTTTTACCAAAACAAAGTCCTTATAAATTATTAAAATATTGAATCACAAGATTGGAAAAGTTTGTTTTGATAAACATTGGTATTGAATTACTTTGCATGTTTGTTTACTATTCATTTGGAATTGGAATGACTTAGTTTTAAAAAAAATTCTAAAAATAAATATTTTATCAAATAGGAAATTTACAAAATGATGACCTAGACATCAGTTCGAAAAAGGTCAAAAGCAGGTTTTGGCATAATATACTACCGATAACTTAGTTTAAAGGAAAATATCTGATTTGTGTACGAAATACTGTGTTATAAATCTGATAAGATCATTTTCAATTTATTTCGGAGGTAAACAGGAATTTAAAGAAAAAAATTTTATGTAACACACATTTGTTGTTTATATGGGATAGAAGTCTGTCTGAAAATTATTAGGCCTCTCATTATGCAGTGATACCTATTAGTGCAGACATTATAGCCCATTTTAACGCTGGATTCATTTGTTCACCTGTATTTTTGATGGCCCATTTTTTGTCTGTCTGTCTGTCAATGTCTGTCAAGAAATGTCTTTTATAAATGCAAAAACTTTGGAAGTTTAGGTAGGAGGCCACTGAAATTTTGAGCAGCTATTGTGCATAATATGTAGACGTGCATATTATATTTCGGTGAAATTCTTTTAAGTTTAATTCTTTTTTTTTTTAAATCACAAATTTTAAGGAATGTGTTCTTTTAATAGGATTTTAAGAAAAGAAACTGATCAATATATAAGTGTATTAACATGATTAAGTTATTTTAGAATACGTTAAAGACCATTTGAAAAATATGTTTTTAGATTTTATCACAATGAAATGAACCATATAATTCAGGTCAAGTTTGAATTGTATGTAGTTAAGTAAAGAGTTATGCCCCTTATTAAAAAATAGATGATTATTGGTTTCCTGATGATAACTAAGGTACTACTTGACACTTGACAAAATAATACAGGTGAAGTGTGCTTGTGATGGACATGACTTTTCCTTATTATGATAATTTTCCTATATTTGAGTTTTTTGTTTGTTTGGAAGATACTTATGTTCCTCTTGACAAAATATTTTGAATTAAAACAAAATGTTCCTCTTGACAAAATTTTTGAATTAAAACAATTTTTCATGGACCATACATAATATAGTGATCAAATTCGATTTTAATCGTGGACATTTATCTTCCAAGAGTGAAGTTGGCGAGGATATCTGAAATCACTAGACCAACTTATAGTTTTTTTGCTGGTATGTGTTGTCAGCATTTTGTATTTTGTAAAGATCAGTGAAGTTGTCACCCCCCAAAAAAAACCAAGCAACTAATTAATGTGACAATACAATCACATAAGGAAGATGCATGATCAGTAAACACATTTTAACTTCTATAAACTGCAATTTGAGTAATTAAATTTATGCATTAATTATTATGTATTGAGAATATCGAGTACCAAATACACATATGAAATATGATGAAGACTGGGATAAAAATTTGCAGTAAAAATAAAAAATGCTATGGTCACTTACCATGTTATATTTTTCACAGGGACAAATTCTCAAACAATAATCTCGCTTTCATTAAAGTTGTCCTGTGTATAAAAAAAGGAAATCATTTTTTAAATGATTATGATAATTCCTAATTTCGTTAAAATTATCAAAATTATCATTGAGTAATGAAATGTTTCTTTTTTTTTGGCAGATTGTTTTTCGTTGGGGCCAGAGAAGGTCACTTGCCAGGATTTCTTGCTACGATAAATATCAACAACTTCACACCCACACCTTCCTTAGCATTTGGTGTAAGTAGGAATTAGATTATTTTTCACTGTCCATTGATTGTTGTTGAGATGTAATAAAAAGTCTATGAAGATAAGACATTTTCTACATGAACCTTAATGGTCTAAGGGAGATAATCCTGGGAAAATTTTTATTATTTTGAAAAGATAAATAAAATAAAATTGTATAGTCTTTACCTCCCACATTATAGTGTTTTGTAATTGCATTTCTTAGGTTTATGCAGTATATCATATGTTGTTAATAAAGAATGTGCTATTATGATTGGTTTTATGTAATTATAAAGTTTAAGAAATTAAAAATTAATAATTTAGTAAATTCAATCTGTTGGAAAAATTGTACGAAGGATGATCATGTCTTTACTGGTAGAAATAAGAAGGTAAAAATATAATCTCAATTTTGAACAATATTTTAATTAATACTTTCTGAAAAAGTTTAGTCTATTACATATAAATGAAATTTTAATTTAATTTTCAATACAATTTAGAAATAAAAGAATGCACATCACACAGACTTGATATATGATATATAAGATATAGATTCCTTTTAAGCTAATGATATTCTTGTTATTTGTTTTTCAGTGCGTTATGTCTCTTGTATATTTAACATCAACAGATATCTATGCATTAATTAACTATGCCAGTTTTGTGGAGACAGGATTTATTGCTATTAGTATTTGTGGCCTGTTATATATGAGATACACTCACCCTAATGCACACAGACCAATTAAGGTGAGAGTTTAAATTACATTATGGTTACAGTTACATCAGCTTACAAATTGGACATGTGTAACTGTTGTCATCTTACCTTGTCCTTTTTTTCCTTTGTAGAATGATCAACATGAAGTTTCATGCATAGGTGACAGAACATTTTCTCAGCTAATTGGATCAACTTTATTTTGTCTATAGAAAAATTGCAATGTATACATATTCCTTTTCCTGTATAGGCCATTTTCTCAGGACATATGATCAATTTTATTTTGTCTATAGAAAAATTGCAATGTATACATATTCCTTTTCCTGTATAGGCCATTTTCTCAGGACATATGATCAACTATATTTTGTCTATAGAAAAATTGCAATGTATACATATTCCTTTTCCTGTTTAGGCCATTTTCTCAGAAAATATGATCAACTATATTTTGTCTATAGAAAAATTGCAATGTATACCTATTCCTTTTCCTGTATAGGCCATTTTCTCAGGAAATATGATCAACTATATTTCGTCTATAGAATTATTGCAATGAATACATATCCTTTTGTCAGAGCTCGCCAGGCCTTTTTTTCATGATTCACTCATCAGTGATAATGGGTTGTTTTGTACATGTAGATACACTTTTATCTCAAGACTGTCAACATATTAATCAGGGATGATCAATAATGCAGGCAAGACATTTCTGTGATTGCACTCTCGATTTCTATTTTACATAATGAGAAATTAGAAAGAGTTTAAAAGACTGATTGATCGATATATTTGTCAAACCCAAATTGAACAGTAAACTTCTTTCAATATCATTATGTTGTTACCAGAGAATGTTAATTGTATGAAAATTAGTTGCGGAATTAACATGAATTTAAACATATTTTTCAAATGTACATTTGAGATATATACATTAAAAGATTATAATAACTGCATATTCTTATAGCTTTGGTAGTTTAGTATTATAAGGTGGTACCAAACACCTTGACTAAAATTAATTTGGCTCGTTTAATTTTCATAAAATTTTGACAAAATATTTACTTTGACCCTTTGATAAAAATATAAAAATTTCAAAAAACTTGAACCACACACTTTATCAGAAAAATTTCATGGGATATATAGCAGTTTGACGAACACTAATTTTGATTATTGAGAAGCTTAATATTTCCTTAACAATAGAATGTGATTAAAACATTCAGCTGATTTTTACAGAGTTATCTCCCTGTAGTGTTATGTACTGTTATGTAATTGGCTGTATTTTCATTTCAGGTGCATTTATTATTCCCAATATTTTTCCTGATAATCTGTGCATTCCTGTTGATTGTTCCTTTGTTAGACAGTCCTAAAGAATGTTTCATGGGAATGATTGTTGTTGCCTCAGGGATACCAGTGTACATTCTAGGAGTATGTTGGGAAAAGAAACCAAAGTCTTTCCTGTCTCTCTGTGGTGAGTCAAGTATTTGTATGCAACATTCCTCTATATTTAAATTTGAAACAATATAAATCACCACTTATTAGTCCCCTATCGACGAAGTTGAAGGGGACTTTAGGTTTGCACTCCGTCCGTCTGTCTGTCTGTCAATCTGTCAGTCCAGCAAATCAGTTTTCCACACTTTTTTTCTTCGTTTTTTCTTCGTCCTTGAAGATATTGATTTGATATTTGGTGTATTGTTTTATCATGACAAGTTACAGATCAAGTTCCAATTTTGTTCCGGTCTGATGATTTTGTGCAGAGATGGTCCTTGGACTTAAAAAATTCACTCAAATAATCAGTTTTCCGCACTTTTTTATGCCCCACCTAGGGGCATTATGTTTTTCGGTCTGTGCGTCCGTTCATTCGTCCGTCTGTCTGTCCCGCTTCAGGTTAAAGTTTTTGGTCAAGGTAGTTTATGATGAAATTGAAGTCCAATCAATTTGAAACTTAGTACACATGTTCCCTATGATATGATCTTTCTAATTTTAATGCCAAATTAGAGTTTTGACCCCAATTTCACGGTCCACTGAACATAGAAAATGATAGTGTGAGTGGGGCATCCGTGTACTATGGACACATTCTTGTTTCCTCATGCTTGAAGATATTGATTTGATAATTGGTATATAGTTTTATCATGACAAGTTACAGATCAAGTTCGAATTTTGTTCAGATCTGATGATTTTGTGCCGAGTTATGGTCCTTGGACATAGAAAATTCACTTAAGTAATCAGTTTTCAACACTTTTTTTCATCATGCTTGAAGATATTGACTTAATATTTGTTATATAGTTAACACCATGACAAGTTATAGATCAAGTAAGCATTTTGTCCCAATAAAATGAATTTTTAACCGGTAGGGGTCAGAGTATTGCGTGAATGCTTGTTTTCAAAAGGTATGGGGGTTCAATATTAAATTTTTTTGTAGAATGTATATGGGGAAATTATTTTTTGGCAAATAATAAAATGTATTATCTATAGAAATTGAGAACTTCCTAGGGAAATATTATTTATATCAATAGCTTTCAGGAAATCACTGGACATTAAGCAAACAACAAGAATCAATCACAATTCCATACCCTGCAATGTTAATGTCGATCATGTATATGTATAACAGTTAAGGAAAAACCAGTATCTATACCAAATAGACTGATCCTCCGTCAAATTAGTAGCAAGGAAAAACTTGTTCCAAATTGTAGGATAAAAAACTTAGTCTGAACCCAATCAGCAGCAAAGTAGGCTGCAAAAACTTCATTCATTGTATGCTATTAAGATTTATAGTGTTCTGTTCTGAAAAAATAAGGACAGGGCTATTTCAAATGTAAGTTTTTAATCTGATTTGATAATTTGGTTATTCTCTGATTTACATACATTGTCAGAAAATATTACATTTAACATCAATATGAAGTAGAAGAGAATAACTTTATGCTGTTCGTGAAATTAATTATTCAAAAACAAATTGCATTGTCAAATGCTTCACATCTTAATGATCATTGTAATGCATTATTGTAATAAAATGCTTCGCTGGGGTGCAGCTTCATACGACCGCAGAGGTCGAACCCTGAACAGTTGGGGCAAGTATGGACACAACATTCAAGCTTGATACAGCTCTGAATTTGGATTGTTATTAAATATTTGACACAGCATAGGTTTCTGACACAGAAAGAATGTGGTCTAAGAACTTGAATTTTTTTAATTTACCTATTATGGTCCAATGTCCAAAATCAAAATACATGGTTAGATTCAGCATATCAAAGAACCCCATACATTCAATTTTTGTTGAAATCAAACAAAGTTTAATTTTGGACCCCAACTTGGACAAACTTGAAAACTGGGCCCATAATCAAAAATCTAAACACATGTTTAGATTCAGCATATCAAATAACCCCAAGAATTCAATATTAGCTAAAATCAAACTAAGTTTAATATTGGACCCTTTGGACCTTAATGTAGAGCAATTTAAATAAAATGCTCCGCAGGGCGCAGCTTGATACGACCGCAGAGGTCGAACCCTGAACAGTTGGGGCAAGTATGGACACAACATTCAAGCTTGATACAGCTCTGAATTTGGATTCTGATTGAATATTTGACACAGCATAGGTTTCTGACACAGAATGAATGTGGTCTAAGAACTTAAAAATTTTAAATTGGACATTCACCTATTATGGTCCAATATCCAAAATCTAAATACATGGTTAGATTCAGCATATCAAAGAACCCCAAGAATTCAATTTTTGATGAAATCAAACAAAGTTTAATTTTGGACCCTTTTGATCTCAATGTGGACAAAGTTGATAACGGGGCCCAAAAATCAAAAATCTAAATACATGGTTAGATTCAGCATATCAAAGAACCCTATATATTCAATTTTTGTTGAAATCAAACAAAGTTTAATTTTGGACCCCGATTTGGACCAACTTGAAAACTGGGCCCATAATCAAAAATCTAAACACATGTTTAGATTCAGCATATCAAAGAACCCTAAAAATTCAATTTTTGTTAAAATCAAACTAAGTTTAATTTTGGACCCTTTGGACCTTTATATAGACCAATTTGAAAATGGAACCAAAAATTAAGAATCTAAATACACGGTTAGATTCGGCATATCAAAGAACCCCAATAATTCAATTTTTGATGAAATCAAACAAAGTTAAATTTTGGACCCTTTGGACCTCAATGTGGACCAATTTAAAAACGGGGCCCAAAATCCAAAAACTTAATACACGGTTAGATTCAGCATATGAAAGAACCCCATATATTCAATTTTTGTTGAAATCAAACAAAGTTTAATTTTGGACCCCGATTTGGACCAACTTGAAAACTGGGCCCATAATCACAAATCTAAATACATGGTTAGATTCAGCATATCAAAGAACCCCATATATTCAATTTTTGTTGAAATCAAACAAAGTTAAATTTTGGACCCCGATTTGGACCAACTTGAAAACTGGGCCCATAATCAAAAATCTAAATGCATGGTTAGATTCAGCATATCAAAGAACCCCATATATTCAATTTTTGTTGAAATCAAACTAAGTTTAATTTTGGACCCTTTGGACATTTATGTAGACCAATTTGAAAAAGGAACCAAAAATTAAGAATCTAAATACACGGTTAGATTCGGCATATCAAAGAACCCCAATAATTCAATTTTTGATGAAATCAAACAAAGTTAAATTTTGGACCCTTTGGACCTCAATGTGGACCAATTTAAAAACGGGGCCCAAAATCCAAAAACTTAATACATGGTTAGATTCAGCATATTAAAGAACCCCAAGAATTCAAGAATAAAACCCCATTGAAATTGATCAAGAAATAAGCAATTTATACAAAGTATATTCTTTTGCACAATACTGTGCAATTGAATATTTCTTGCTATTGCGCAATACTGTACAATTGACAATTTCTTGCTATTGCGCAATATTGTGCTTTTGGATATTTCTTGCTATTGCGCAATACTGTGCAATTGAAGATTTCTTGCTATTGCGCAATACTGTGCAACTGAAGATTTCTTGCTATTGTGCAATACTGTGCAATTGAAAATTTCTTGCTATTGCACAATACTTATTGTATAATAATTTACACATCCTGTTTGGTGTGTATCTCCTTCCATATCATTATTATTTGATTTTAAATATAAATCAGAAATAACCAACTTAAAATGGAAAATTTTAAAAGAAAAAAAAAAGGAAAAAAAGAAAAAAAAAGAAAAAAAAAAAATCCCCCCCCCAAATTTTTTGAACCCCCTTATGATTCATCACCCCCAAACTCAATCCCAGCCTTCCCTTTGTGGTATGGTACCTTGCAGTACAATTTCAGAGAGATCCATACACTTGAACACAAGTTATTGTATGGAAACTAGAAAAATGCTTATTTTTGGCCCCTTTTTGGCCCCCAATTCCTAAACGTTTCGGGCAATTACCCCCAAACTCAATTCCAGCTTTCCCTTTGTGATATGGAACCTTGTAGTACAATTTAAGAAATATCCAAACACTCACACACAAGTAATTGTCATGAAACTAGAAAAATGCTTATTTTTTGGCCCCTAATTCCTAAAATTTTGAGGCATTTACCCCCAAAATCAATTACAGCCTTCCCTTTGTGATATGGAACCTTGTGGTACAATGTCAGAGAGATCCATACACTTACACACAAGTTATTGTCTGGAAGTTACAAAAATGCTTATTTTTGGCCCCTTTTTGGCCCCTAATTCCTTAACTGTTGGTACCATAACCCCCAAAATCAATCCCAACCTTCCTTTCGTGGTATTGAACCTTATGGTAAAATTTCATGGAGATCTATTCACTTAAACTAAAGTTAGAGTGCGAAAACCAATGTGTCTTCGGACGACGCCGGACGACGCCGGACGACGACGCCAACGTCATACCAATATACGACCAAAAATTTTTTAATTTTTGCGGTCGTATAAAAACGGGACTTAAAATTAAAAATCTAAATACAAGGTTAGATTTGGAATATCAAAGAACCCCAATAATTCAATTTTTGATGAAATCAAACGAAGTTTTATTTTGGACCCTTTTGACCTCAATATGAACCAATTTGATAGCGGGGCCCACAAATAAAAAATCTAAATTCATGGTTAGATTCAGCATATCAAAGAACCCCATATATTCAATTTTTGTTGAAATCAAAAAAGTTTAATTTTGGACCCCAACTTGGACCAACTTGAAAACTGGGCCCATAATCAAAAATCTAAACACATGTTTAGATTCAGCATATCAAAGAACCCCAAGAATTCAATTTTTGTTAAAATCAAACTAAGTTTAATTTTGGACCCTTTGGACCTCAATGAAGACCAATTTAAAAAACAGGACCCAAATTAAAAATCTAAAAACACGGTTAGATTTGGCATATCAAAGAACCCCAATAATTCAATTTTTGATGAAATCAAACAAAGTTTAATTTTGGACCCTTTTGACCTCAATATGAACCAATTTGATAGCGGGGCCTACAAATAAAAAATCTAAATACATGGTTAGATTCAGCATATCAAAGAACCTCATATATTCAATTTTTGTTGAAATCAAACAAAGTTTAATTTTGGACCCCAATTTGGACCAACTTGAAAACTGGGCCCATAATCAAAAATCTAAATACATGTTTAGATTCAGCATATCAAAGAACCCCATAAATTCAATTTTTGTTGATATCAAACAAAATTTAAATACTGGACCCTATCTTGGACCAACTTGAAAACTGGGCCCATAATCAAAAATCTAAACACATGTTTAGATTCAGCATATCAATGAACCCCAAGAAATCAATTTTTGTTAAAATCAAACAAAGTTTAATTTTGGACCCTTTGGACCTTAATGTAGACCAATTTAAAAAACAGGACCCAAAATTAATATCTTAATACATGGTTAGATTTGGAATATCAAAGAACCCCAATAATTCAATTTTAGATGAAATCAAACAAAGTTTAATTTTGGACCCTTTTGACCTCAATATGAACCAATATGATAACGGGGTCCACAAATAAAAAATCTAAATACATGGTTAGATTCAGCATATCAAGGAACCCCATATATTCAATTTTTGTTGAAATCAAACAAAGTTTAATTTTGGACCCCAATTTGGACCAACTTGAAAACTGGGCCAAAAATCAAAAATCTAAATACATGTTTAGATTCAGCATATCAAAGAACCTCATATATTCAATTTTTGCTAAAATCAAACAAAGTTTAATTTTGGACCCTTTGGACCTTAATGTCGACCAATTTGAAAACTGGACCCAAAATTAAAAATCTAAATACACTGTTGGATCTGGCATAACAAATAAATAAATGTGATCAAAGATTTTACAAATCTAATGCGCCATACTGTGCAATTAAAGATTTCTTCCTGAAATTTTTCAATATTTGAAATTTGAAAAAAAAATAATATTTGAAGAATAATTTTTTTAATTTCTGAAATCTGAAATGAGAAAAAATTGACCCCCACAATTTCTTTTTATCCCCCCCCCCCTTTTTTTCCCCCACAAAAATTCTTTCCCTCAAGATATGGTCATAATCTCAATTCAAATTTCCAATGGAGTTGGCAACCATAATTACCCATTTAAATTTACCATAGTGCTAACTTAATCTATTTTATAAAAGAATTAAAAATATAGTGTCAAATCTTTCATATGGATTTTTTTGTAAATAAAAAGATGCAACATTTGCAGATATTTTTACTGGTCCTCCTTTATAAATATGCATTTCTTTAAACATAATTTAAAAGCAGTGTAAGGGAAGTAACCAAAACGTTGTATGTGGATTACCTCCCTTACACTGTTTTAAATTATCTTTATTGTTCATTAACCATTACTTTATACATAATTTAAAAGCAGTGTAAGGGAGATAATTTCAATGATGTATTTGATTTATCTCCCTTACCTGCTTTAAATTATGTTTTGTACTAAAGTATTTGTCCATTAACCAGGACAACCTTGTTTTTCCCCCTTTTTTGCCCCTAATTCCTAAACGGTTTGAGCCATAACCCCCCAAAGCAAATCCTAACCATCCCTTTGTGGTATGGAAACTTGTAGTATAATTTCAGAGAGATCCATACACCGTTCCACAGTTATTGTCTGGAAACTAGAAAATGCTTATTTTTGGCCCCTTTTTGGCCCCTAATTCCTTAACTGTTGGTACCATAACCCCCAAAATCAATCCCAACCTTCCTTTTGTGGTATTTAACCTTATGGTCAAATTTCAAAAAGATCCATTTACTTAAACTAAAGTTAGAGTGCGAAAACCAATGTGTCTTCGGACGACGACGCCGGACGACGAAGACGACCCCAACGTCATACCAATATACGACCACAAAATTTGTTTGCGGTCGTATAAAAAGGGAGGTAACTTCTGAGATTTTAGTAAAACCTGCTTAAACTTTTTTATTTTAATTTCAGATAAGTTTTCAGTGTTGACACAGAAGATATTTGTGAGTGTTCGTGAAGAGTTGAAAGAAGATTAAAGGAAGAAATAGTACAGATATACCTCATGTGACTGTTATAGAGCAACGATATCAACAATACTAACTATTAGATGTGATTTTTATTTGTTATAAATTCATTTGTAAAATCTAAGGTTCTATACACCTTTAAAAAAATAAAAAATTAAAAGATTATTTTATAATTTTTTTATAGAAGAAACTTTATACTGAAAATTATTTTAAGATCATTTTACAGATTAAAGTGAAAAAAAGACAATGGAAAATAAAGACAAGTGTATTTGGAATTTTTTGATTTTGTTTTTGTACAAATGGATAAAAATGAGAAGTTTTTTGTTTGGATGTAAGTTAAAGATAAGATGTGGAGGAAGTAAATTTAAAAAAAAACTCAAATGACAAATTTTGCATTTATGAATATTTATATTGTGCATTTTATATTAAATTTTGATTGTTATGGATCAGATATTTTGAGTAATATTTATGAAATTACTTATATTATAATTTTAAAAGATGTCAGTAAACCTCTCATTGAAATCATTTAATTTGTCACCAGAAATTGAAATCAATTAATTTGTCACCAAAAATTGTTTTATCTACTAATTGCTTAACTACGCAAAATTTGACAACTGCAATGTCAAACTCTTATAAATACTTTAATTTTGTGCTATTGATTTATTAAATATTTTCTAGACTTTTACATAACCAAATGGTCTGTAATCACCAATAGGAAACAATTTCAAATCCTTTAAGCTGAATGTCAGATCTCTCTTGATCATGATAAAAATCTTTGCTGTTTTCTCCATTATTGCAGTCATTCAATATATCACAGAATATTCTTAAAAATTAGTCAATTGGATATTGTGTTCAAATTTTGCCTGTGTAAAAGAAAGTTATTTTCACCTTATTTGTTGAAATACATGTATATTTACAATCCTGTTTGAGTACATAAGTTTTGATGTTTTTTATGTGATGGTATTTTCTTTGGTATTCTAGATGTATTTCTATTATGTAAAAAAGTAATGTTTGGACATTTGCTTTTGTGAAGAAAATTTTTGTTTTGAATAGTGAACACTTCTAACATTTGAACATGTTTTTTTATACAATGACATTAGAATGCATGACTGCACAATCATGCAGAAGATTCATCAAATTTAAATGTCGAAATGGTGTCATCTGATTTCAATGTAAAATGCAAAATTTAGCTCTAAGAAAACAAGTTTCATATAAAATCAGCATAATGTGAGTAAAATGGTGCGTGTTTGAACTTTTTATTGTTTTGTGGTGTGATATGTTATTACCATATATTGTTTCCAAATTTGGGACCATGGTTGGGTTATATTTGTTAATTTTCCATGGGAAATACTTTTTTTAATATAATTTAAAAAGGAGTGAAAAATATATTGTTAGTTATAAAAGAGAACGTCAATTCCATTTCAAATAAGACTTTTGAGTGATAGGATAATAACCAATTTACTGTGTGACAAAACAAATCCCATTTGGGCATTATGGTGCAATAGAAAATCATTAATACAATCAATCAATCATACTTAGATGCTTATTCTCTTGGGAATGGCAATTATTTCATAGTAACTTGAGCTAATATAAAGCATATGTAAAATATATGTCATTAGAACAAAAAAAAATACTTATTTAAGGTATGGTAAAATAATCTATATATTCATAGAAAACATTTTGTAAATTGAGAAATTTCTTGCTATTAACAAATTCTAATCATTGGTCATATTATTGTCTGTTTATGTTATTGATCATGTGATCTTTATGTTTGTTTATGTTTTTGATCATGTGACCCTTATGTTTTTGATCATGTGACCTTTATGTTTGTTTATGTTTTTGATCACGTCATGACCTTTATGTTTGTTTATGATCATGTGACCCTTATGTTTTTGATCATGTGATGTTTATTTTTGTGTTTGTTCATGTTATTGATCATGTTGTTTTTTTGTGTGTTTGTGTTTGTTGATTCTATTCTAAGAAGAGGATGGGGTCTTCTATTGTACAAACTTTCTATGTTATTAACAGTGTGTAAAACTTGGATTTGGTATTTTGTATTTTAATTTACATTTTTGAATGTCATCAAGACATCAGTTCTTAAAATGTATGTATATATACCATTTCAAAGTTAAATTGATTTGGGGATTGGGAAATTTTTGTACAAGCAGCAACTATTTATATTCTATGTGTCCCACAATCCTTGTTTTTTTTTTTTTTTTTAATTTTAGCAATAAACATTTTTTACTATTCTGTTAGCATCCTCCAAGATATAAATATTATCCATTTAGATATCATAAAACGAAGACCTGAAACATTTTCTACTCAACTGTACCTTATTAGAATCAACACAGCATGCTACAGCCCAAGATATGAAAATAGAACTATACAGAGCCTGCAAATTGAAACTAGCTCAGATGTTTACAAAGACCAACAATAATTTATAATCATTTTTTCATTCTTTGGAAAAAAAAAAAATTTGCTCGGATGTAAATGACATCATCACACAATGCAAGCTGTTGCATTAAAAATTTAATGATTTGTGCCTCTTTAAGAAAAATACTTAAACATTTTTAAGGTAAAAATGTAGCAACATCCTTACATTTTTCATTCATTATAATCACTATTTGAGACAACTTGGACAGACAGTATATTAAATTAATATGTAGTATTCAAAATATTCTCGCTCAAAAATGGTCACATCAGTCACATATATGTGTGTGGTTCTTGTTGATAATTTTATTGCCATTTTGGTGGCTCATTTAGACTTTGAAACTGAAAGTGACACTATCACAACACTAAGATTATTGCAAGATAATCTAATAACAATGTCAATAAGAATCATAAATGGACTGCATTTATCAATGCCAATGATTTGAAGATAAATTGTTCATATCTAGTAATTATCACATTTTGCAGAATTAGATAATTAGGTTATCTAACAGCAATTGTTAAAAAAGTTTTTTTAAATTGGCCAACTTCAGTTGTGTCATTTTCTTTAGGTATTGAAATCATGAAATATAACATTTGAACAGAATAACTTCAGTAAACTAGTCAATTACATTGAAAAACATGCGAAGTCAGTATTCTGTCTCAATATTTTACAGTTCAGATGTTTGTTCAAAATTAGAATGAAAATGAAATTAAGCCCTATACAGAATCCACTTTTGCTATATTTTCTGTTCCGGTAGTATTTCAATATTTATTGTAAAGCAACGCTCAGACCCATGTATGTGTAAAATGAGGTAAATATACAATAAAAAACATAATTTATAATACAATGGTAACACTTAAAAACAAAAACAAATAAAAATTCATTCAAATCAATATACATATCACAATAAGTTATTTAGCTTTCTAATTAAAGATGAAACCTGTCGATATAAATTAACATTGCATTAAGATAACATAACAGATAATTTCTGCTTGCTTGGATGCTTTGTATAATAACTAGGGATATGTTTTTCTCTAAAAATAACCAGTTGGGGAGACTTGCATATAAAAAGATGGTGAAATTCGTCTCCTACATTTTCTTTACATATGTGACATTTTCGGTCCTCCGCCGGAATATTATACCAACACCCAGTTTCAATGGGAATTTTTAAATCAAATGAAATTAAGCCTTATACAGAATCCACTTTTTCTATATTTTCTGTTCCGGTAGTACAAACATGTATGGAAATATTTAAAACATGAAATTTTCACAAAACCATTAAAGTCATCCCTAGTGTGGTTTATTGACCTCAATATTACTTGTATTAGTTAGCTACATTTGAGGTACAAATATGAATGAGCCTTTTTCTTACTTTGGTCTGTCTCATTGCTGTTAATTTTTTAATACATTTATTTGTTACTGATTTATATTTTGATTGTTTATTAATTATATTGGTTTTTACCAACATTATTGAATATCTATATTTCATGGTATAGAACTGTAACCATTGTTTTTTTTGTAAATATTTCCTCAGAGACTTTGATACTACATGTATATACTATAATATAATTTATAAGTTAATCAGAAGTATCTCATATTATCTAAATAACAAATACCGGTAATTCTCTTATTTTATTTAAGTACATTTACAAGGAACATTTCTATAGATATTGTGTGTACCAGAATTTTTATCATCAAGCTTGAGTATGAAAAATCTCAGGTTGCAGTCCTATAGAACTAGTCAAAAACTGTACCAAAACTTGAAGCTCAGTTATATTTTTGACAATCAAAGATAAGTAGTTTTTGTTTATTTTGATAGAGCTAGTTGATTCAATGTTTGGATTGTAATTTTTTAGTTAAGATTGTTCCATTTAAGGATGTTCGCTACTTATGTTTTTGACTTTTTGTCAGGTATACTGAAATATCTAGTTTTATTTATGTAGTGCCAATAAAACTTTGCCCGCTAACCCCTACTTTTCTTTTATACTTTTATTACATAAAGTTTAACAAGCCATTTTTGTTTGACCTGGCCCTTATAAAACTCAATTATTCAGACAAGATACTTTAAAAAAGGTATTCAAAAGAGTAAAAAATACATTTAAACATATGTATAGGTATGCATTAGGTCCTCTTGTGCTTAAAATCCCCCTTGGAGATATTTAAAGGTTGGCCGGTATGGTTCTGTTATTTATATACATATCAATTTATAACGGTCTTTTAAAAATCTTTTTTTAAAAGAGGAGAGAACATCCTTAGAAGAACATGCCACTCATAAAAACAATTTTCATTCTATCATAAATTCTAGTTTCACATTTTTGTGTGTGATAAAAAATTACAAGATACCAAATTTGGTTTTATGCATCATATAATACTCTTTTGAAAAATTTATTTTCATCAGTGATTTTTTAAACAATATATGAAACCAAGAAGTAGGAAAAGTTGAAGACCAATTAACCCCAAATAATACATGTAACTAAATGTTTGCATGAAAAGGTGCTTCTCAAAAATTTAATGCCAATTTAAAAAAAGAAAAATGTTTTCATTGTCATTTACTGTCAAACTACTATAAACTCATTTCACCTAACAAAATTTGAAGTTACAAAAGAAAGTATTTTCAACCTCATTTTTCATCCCATCTCTTGTACATGCAAAAGAGTTTACCTGACACAAGTTCAGATGTCATAGTCTCATTTCCTGTTTTACATTGATACACATATATTCAGATTCATTTCACCAGATTTATTTATCCTGTTGTTTTATCATTTGTTTAAACTTGTACAATTTTTTTGCTATTATATAATGACATTTTTATATTCCACTGCCTCTTGTATACACATGGTGCCTGGTACTTTGTTTTACTAATTGTATGATATTTGCTACTTTTACATATATAATGCATCTCTGTTGAAGTTCTTTTTACGCAATCTAACGTCTTAAATATCCAAAATGATGTTTTTTTTGTAGGTCATAAGTTATTTTGGTGTTTGATAAACGATGAAAGTCAGTACTATTAAATCTGTGCAAACTTTTTTCAAGATATTGCGTAAGGATTTATTGAGAAATAACATGAATAAGATCACTACAAAAATGTGAGTTCATAAAATAAAGGTATATTGACTCAAAGATGTGAGATCATATATACTTTATACTGGGAAAAAAACATTATTACAGTGCCATTTCTAAGATATTGTGAATGAAATTTGATGCCAAATAAAACACAAATCTCCAATCATATGTTTTTCTCACTGCAATAAACTTATCAAAAACGAGAACTGTTTACAATATGTAAGACTTGGAGTGACACCCATCCACAAATACATATTTTTCAATCAATAAATATCCTATCAATTTTAAGACAAAGATTTTTTTGGTAAAGAATTGATTTAGATTTAATATTTCAACAAATTTTTTGTAAATTATTGTATATAATTACTAACTACGCACAACGTCTTATAGATATATCAATACAAATTGTAACTACAATTTAAACCACTTTAGGATTTAGTGCAATAAGGTCATAGAGTCTGCTTCAAGCATTTTTATACCTGCATTAACTGCATTAGGTCATATATAGTGTTCACTTATATCTGTGCAGTTACCTCCTTTAATTTGTCTATGTGTCCCTTATTTAATCTGCATTCCACATTAAAAGCTACTTTCTGAATAGTGTAAACAGATTTTATGAAAGAATTTGTTGTTTATAGCTACAGGAGTAAATAAATATGAAAATATACAAATAATTCAAAAATTAGGATTAGGAAACAAGAGCAGCATGCTTTAATATATAAATCCATCTCCCTATATATTTTGAATATCAGCGGAACTTTTTTTTCTCTTTTTGTCTTTCTGAAGTGTTCTACATTTTGGTTCTTCATTAAGGATCTCTGAGATGATGTTGAAGTAAGAGTCAAATTTTGAAGATTCTGGTGTAAAGTGAAGTATTCGTTATCACTTTGCCTCCCCAACCACTGAATGGATTTCTTTCAAACATGTGCCACTTCTCCCAATTGTTGTGTAAGTTTCACATTCTGAATGCAGTTCAAAATTAGATTTGGAAAGGAATCAAATTATTGAATATATATAGAATCACAACACTTCTAGAAAAATACAGAAATTTTTCTGTAAAGTTATAGCTACAAGCTTCTTATTCAAATTTACTGAATGGATTTCAGTCAAACACTCATCAATTCTTCTCTTTGTAGTGAAGATATGCATAAAATACTGTAAAATCAGTAATTTTTGTCAAATTTTTATTATGCAAAAATTGCAACAGGAAAGGTTTTGCAAAAAAAGATTAAATTGCATTTTAAATATTTTTACGCATTTTTATTTTTATTGCAGGAGTTATAATTTGTATGCAGCATTTCCTTTAATAAACATCAAGTTTTTACCATTACTCAATAATGGCAACAATAAATGCACATAAAATTTCTGCATTTATTATTCATGCGACAAGTTTCATATAGGAGTCAAATAGAATATTAAAATGCATTTATAGAAGCTGAAATTAATAGATGCATTTATTAAGAATGATTTGATATGCTCGTTTGATAACTATTATTATATAACTATACTGATTGAATTTATTTTTTATTTAATGAGACTGTACTTGCATTGTACATTCTTTCAGAATACAAATGTGTAAACATTTACTAAATTTCTTGCAGTTGGTGAAGTATATCATGTTTGTTGCAGGATTTATTTTAAAAATTACTTATTAGAATTGTTATTACTAGTAACATTACACAGGTATACTTTGTTTGATTTTACTAGAATTACCTCAATTAATTTTGAAATCAAAAGCTGTCACTTTTTAAAAATGGTCCAGCAAGGATTATAGAATACTTCTAATCAGCTGGCATGAGAATAGGTATATACCAAGACTTTTTATTTTGTGTCAAACTTCTTTTTAAGATACTTGAAAAATGTTTGTGCATAAAAAACTTTTATGTTAAATATTATAGAAAATATTGTTTTACATCTCTTAGTGGTATAACTTTGAAAGTTATTATTAATTTATGTCTTAAGTGATTAGATGAAGGCTTTATTTGTTTGTTGATGTTAAAGTATTTATTAATATGATAAAATGAAGAAAAGATTACATGTCTGTCATATATTTTCTAATTTATATGTTTTGTTCTCTTGTAAGGTTTTCCATTTAAAGTGGAAAAAGAATCAAATTTCACACTGACAATGAATAGACATTTTATACAAGCAAGCACCTTCTGCTCCCTTATTCTTAAGTATAATTTATATGTTAAAAAAAAATCAACAGATTATTACTATTAAAATGCTTCCAATTTATCTCATTAATATTTGCAAATAATAAATGCACTCACATTTAATTATGTGGCTATCTTGGAGAAAGGAAAGAAATAAAACAATTTTAAAATATGAGTTGTGTTTATTTGACTTTTAGGACAAAGAAGAGCTTTGTACTTGTAATTCTTTGGATTTCTGTCTTGTGTACAACCACCCAATATCTTTTTCTCTTCTCTTGTAATATATTTTCTATGTATATCATTTTGTTGATATTAGACTGACATTAGTAATATAACAGAAAATTTGAGATATATTTAGAATTTATTTGAATATTGAAATGGACCTTTTCAACCAAATATCCTATAATAGACAATGGTCTGATTAAATCCTGACCAATTTTAAATCCCTTTATTTACTACAACTGTAATATGTTGACATCAAACATGACAAGATATAAATTCATTTATTGCTCCAAAGGTTCTTGGCTATCAGTTTTTGGGGTCTAAGTGTTACCGATAAAGGTAAATCCAGGAAAATGCTTTGTACATACCAAATTTATAAAAAGAATTATTTTCATTTTATAAGTGAATATTTTATGCTGAAGTAGAAGTAGTAAATAAACAAATAAAAAAAAACCATCACCTGACATTTAGAAAACAGGTAAAATATTTTACATGTATTAAAACATTTAGCTATACTCTTTCTTGAAATAAACCTCAGAATAAATGAATCTCATGTACAAACATTTAAAATAGACGAAAACAACATTATTCAAAACAAGAATGGAAAAAAAGGTAGTTTTAAATTGATACCAGTTCTAAACCTCTTTCATGATTATATATGTTTTCTTCTTCAGAACAGTTCCTCCAAATTTTAGAAGCTTTTTGTGATACTAGTAGGTCAAACATTAATTTCTTGCAAGAATTTGATATTTTTTTCAAGGTTACAAAGCCATAATTTGGGATTTTCTGAAGAGCTGAATGATGGAGACATATAGAAATAGGATTACATCTATGACCAAGACTATGACAAGCATCAATTTCATGTAACTGAGTCGTCCTGAACATGCATGAAATATTTGCCACTGAACATTTTAAAAGCAACCAACAATCAATCAATCATATTACTGAGAATTTGAACTTTCTAGCACCAGTAAAAAAACAGTAAGTTGGTCAAAAAAGGATGGAAAGGAAAAGACCAAGTATACAATTCAACTGATATATCTACCAAAATCAGTAGACTTTTAGGCTAGAATGGAAGAAAATGGAACCATTTATTCACAGATATCTTAATTCAGTTACCAATAAGACTTGTGTTGAACAATCCCAACTGGCTGCATTAAAAGGCAGAGTAGCTAAATTTGAATAGTTTTTTGAAAGTTGAGGTTTGATGAAAGTTAGCATAGAACTGATATACTGAATAAAGAAATCATTTCTGGTGAAATTTTATTAACTTCAGTGCTTTATGAAGAACAAGAAGATACCAATGGGACAATAAAAACCCATCAGTCTAAGGAGGAAGACAAAAAACCAAAATGACAAACACTACATACTGTATATACCAAAGATTTAACAACTATAACCCTATCAAAAATAAACTAGAATGAAAGTAATTGCTGCAGATGTTAAGAAGATTTCTAGGAGATTTTGTTTATCTATATTGTTTTCAATTCTAGAAAGTCGCGAAGATTTCATTTACATACTGAATTCTGGATGGTTTAATGTATTTAACCTTTTATTCTTGATGAGAAAGAATTGAAGATTTCATGTAAAGTTTAAAAAATCCACAGACAATTTCCAAAAAAACATTTACCAGTACTTTGCTAACTTGTAGCTATGAAGATTTTATTTTATTGAACTGCTTAATCTGTGACAGTGTATGGAAAGCTCGTAAATTTAAGATTATTTATGGAAAAGTTCATATATCTGAGATAATTTACATCCAGGAAACAGTTCTGGATACTTCATACACTTGACATTCATTAAATAGTCTTTGAACTTTGGTGGTTAGTTGTCTCATTGGCAATCATATCCAACCTCCTTATTTTTATATTGAAATTGTCACATACAGCGATACTAAAATATTTTACTACCTGAAGAATATAGGAAGATTAATTTACTCTGGATTTTTTATTTTATGAAGCAAATATTGGGACTTTTTGCATTGGAGCCAATATACATTCAAGAAGAGGATGGAAAGATTTCATATTTTGATCCATGTACTTAAGAAGGTTTCTGAATAATTTTGTGAACTGGTATGCATTTCATGAAAAATATATGAAATAATCTGATTTACTTGTATTAAGAAGTCTTAAAAACATTGTGTATTATAACTACAGTATTTTTATATTCCAAAACTTGTACATCTCCTGTACCTTGGCAGATTTATATTCATTAGAATGTTGGAGGCTTTCATTTATTTAAGCTGATTTACAAAAATCAATAAGTCTATAAAAATTCACACAGCACTTAATTACATTCAGAATGAGAAAATTTAATGTGCTTTTTACATGTTCTTCTGGATATTGTTGTACATACACAGAATTGTTCTGATGTGTATGTTATACTTGCCACTGGACATTAACCACTAATCCCTATGTCCATGCATAAAACCCTGAAGGTTCACATGTACCAAACCTTATTTTTTTTTTACCAGGAAGACAAAAGATTTTATTCATTTTTGCAAATTCACATTTCTGAAGAAGTGTATATGAAAGTGTATATGAAACTTAAAAGTCTACAACTGCTAACAGTGCTAGCCATTTGTAAAGAAGTGTCAAAGATTTCATATATGTTATTTTACATGTATAAAGAAGTCCGGAGGATCTGCTGTAATAACTTTTTTCTTCACGAAGAAGTCTAGATGATTTTATGTGTTTACTACTTTACATTTAATTATGAAGAAAAATCTGAAGAATTCCTCTATTTGAAGTACTTTACATCCATGGAGAACCCTCCTACAGTATTTACTGAAATGCAATGAAGATTTACAGACACCATAAATGTATCTTGCAGTAGTGATGTGTATACTTATAACATTAAGAAATGACAACCTGGTACTAAAGATATGTTGGGTAATCACTTTTCATTGATGGTATGAATTAAATCTATTGAACCTGAAAGAAAATATGTTGCCATGTAATAATTAACTGAAGAAATTCCAATTAGTGTTGCAGTACCAATTGTGTCTGCTTACATGTAATAGTATGCGGTTGCTAAATCATCTCATGAAATTTTCATTTTTAATGTTTCTCCAACCCCATATTCTAGAGGGGCCTCATGGGGGGGGGGGGGTCTCATCACGATTCACGAGTTGATTTTTTTGTCAATCACGATTCACAGAAAATAAATTTCCATGATCACGGATCACGAAAATATAAAAAAAAAATCTGTAGAAAAACGGATCACGATAGTGAAAATGCGCCGATCACGAAGAACGAAAATAACCCATCAGGCCCCTCATCCTAGAAAGTGGGATCACAATGATGTGGATACTTATTCATGTTTAAGAGATATGGAGTGACATTGCTACCTATAGACGAGTTTCCAATTTTGATTTTATAAATGAACTGCCACGGTTGACCTGGGGGTCATTACTGAGAGGGAAAATGCGTCAATGAACATAGTGAAGTGACGATATTTGCCTTGTGACGTCAAATTTTCCCGTGGAAAAGCACCACTTGGTAATGCTTCCTGTACATTGAGTCGAAGTATATAAAATATTTACTAAATGTTTCTTGACTGTATGTGAACAAAGTCAACAAACCGCAAAGATTTGAAAATAAATGTCAGAAGATTGAGGTCACAATGAATTAACTTGCAAAATTGTACATTAAAAATCTACATCTCTACAAAATAGCCATTATATACCGGGTGGGAGATATTGGCACATTGAAGATACGTGGACAAAATACTAGTAGTAAGGTAAGACAGCATTTTAACTTAACACTAGAGTCATCAGAGTCCTAACGTACGTTGTGAGCTATTTATATCATTTCCGTTTGTTGCATGTTGTTAGCAAATTTTCATGAACTTTTAGAAATTTGCAGGGTTTATTTGAACCATATATTCAACTTATCTTCTACAATGTTTCCTTTCAAACAGATACTCATTTTCATGGTTCAGTGACTGCTTGAAAAAAAATGTGGTCCAATCCTCCTTATGATGCTATATATATGGTTACGTATACTTTAAACATGATTTACTGATTGATATGGGTTGTCTAGAACATCTGCAAATCATGTAAACTGGTTGATATTTTAAGGTTTTATCAAAAAGTTTAAATTGATTTAAGAAGAGTTGAAACATTTGTAGCAATCTGTCAGTTTGAGGAATATAAATATTAGCTAATGCTTATCAAACAACAAAAAAAAGTAAAGTTTTTATTATAATATATTTATTTTTGCTTCATAATCTGATTTGTGCAAACATATCACAAGTGAACAAACTAACCAGATATGCAAGGAAACGAAATTATTCGGCTTTGAACAAAATATATACCACAAAGACTCAAGTCATATTATTCTTGCAAAAGCTGTAGGACAGTAACATGGCAGTAGTTCAATGTTGAATGTATGGTTCTAGTCAGATTTTAAGTTCCAAGGTACTGACTCAAAGAATTGCGTGGGTCCGACACCTTTACATAAACTTTATCAAACACAGTGTTAGTTGGGTATTTTCTCCATTACTGAGCAAAGGAGGGACGATACTTAAATAAACACATTAAAATATTTTAACAATTCGTTTGGCTATTATGTTTACATTAAAAACAGCCCAGCATCATAATCTGCATGAGCTCGTAATATGTCACTGTCTCAATCAGAAATGTCTTCATCAACTGCGATGTGCTAACGCAATTTTAATTTGATGGATAATTATGTTTATGATTTGATTGTTGGTTGCTTAAAGTCCAGTAGCAAATATTTCAGGCACGCTGAGGACGACTTTGTAACGGTTTACGAAACATTACATTTATGAAACATTAAATTTTCAAATTCCAGGAGTTTCGTCAGTAACTTTACAAAAGTGACTGTGAGCACACATGTGAGATGATATTCTTTTAATATATGTATCAGGACACATCATGGTGATGTCAATATAGAAATATGCAATAAAACTGAATAATAATGGTATTTAAAAAAGACATAAATATAAAAATGCTGACCAAAACGATTGTCTGAAACATAAACAAAAACACCTTGCTAGTTACTAGTTTTCAGTAGTTTTAACACTTCATCATAAACTTTCACTGACCCAGAATATTTATTGTGTTCTATGTTTTTAAGTTGACTGATATATTCCTCTGGTAAATTACTCTGAATAGCACCTCTAATTATAACATCCATGTATTGTGGAGATGGTCTCATGTCCCAGTCACTAGGAACAGCGGTTGGTTCCAACAGATAAGTTCTACAAGTTAGACTTTGGCCTTCGGAAATCACATCAACATTTAAAGCTTTGTAAATACCTTCTTGCCTGAAACAACACGCGCACACATGATTAATTTAGGTCAGTCATTAATAAAAAGAAAATGGAATATAGTATGCAACATTTTTAATAAAAGGAAGTTATTACAATAGGGTTATTGTCTTGTTGTGCCCTGTTTTTATGCTTGCTCCTAAACTAAAAAGTAAGTAAATTTCCGTAATTGAGCGCATGAACCCTGGCCTAAGTAAATACTCGGTCAACATATATGGACACGCTTTGGTATTTTCAATGTAAAGTATATCAGAATAGAAAGTTAAACTTAGGTTAAATATGTTTACTTTTTACTATGATCAAATAATTATTACTTTAAAAATAAGGTAACACTTTCTCAGAAATAATTACATTACATAGAAGTAAGGATTTATAACTAAAAAACACGTCTTTGATAGAAAAAAGGGAAAACAACCCTTTATAAATATTATGTGTCCGAAGCGCTTTTCTTGGTTTTATCATCAGGGAAGCTAAAAGTTTCATACGATTCCGTAATTTTGATTGAACAAGGCATTCCAAAAATTATTTTTCATTTCTGTGTTAAATGCAACATTTATGGAACAAAAAATGTAATTATAAAAATTGAATGCTTCTTTTTTTTTATAATGTTATAGAGTTGTATAAAAACGTTGAACGTGAACGTGCGGCACATTTTTAGCTTCAATGTACTTCGTTCAACACTTTTACACCCAAAATAAAGCATTCAATCAAAGATTTATATAGTAATTTAAAAATAAGGAGATGTGGTATGATTGTAAATGAGACAATTAACGCTCCACCAAAGTTCAAATGAAGTGGGTGTAAGCAATTATAGGCCTCCGTACGGCTTCAACAATGGGAAACACCAATATCGTATAATCGGCTATTAAACAATTCAGACGAGAAAACTAACGACATAATTTATAACAGAACAGTTTACGAAAAAACAAATATGACAGACATGAGGGGGTGGACAGCTTTTGAGGAAGGTGGGAGAAAGGGGGAAGGAGGTGGGAGATAGGGGGCGGGAGATGTGAAAATGGTACCCCCTGTCCACCCCCTCAGACATGAACCAACGACAACCACTGAACTACAGGCTGCTGACTTGGGACAGGCACATAAAGAATGTGGAGGGGTCAAACATGTTTGTGGGCGTGCAATCCCTCCCCTAACCTGGGACAGTGGTGTAACAGCACAACATTAGAATAAACTAAAAATCAGTTGCAATTGGCTTAACTCAAAAGATCGTCACGAGGTTCAAAGACAACTAACAATAAAATGCTTCGCTGGGGCGCAGCTTGATACGACCGCAGAGGTCGAACCCTGAACAGTTGGGGCAAGTATGGACACAACATTCAAGCTTGATACAGCTCTGAATTTGGATTGTGATTAAATATTTGACACAGCATAGGTTTCTGACACAGAATAAATGTGGTCTAAGAACTTGAATTTGACCCTTTTGACCTCAATATGAACCAAGTTGATAGCGGGGCCCACAAATAAAAAATCTAAATTCATGGTTAGATTCAGCATATCAAAGAACCCCATATATTCAATTTTTGTTGAAATCAAAAAAAGTTTAATTTTGGACCCCAACTTGGACCAACTTGAAAACTGGGCCCATAATAAAAAATCTAGACATGTTTAGATTCAGCATATCAAAGAACCCCAAGAATTCAATTTTTGTTAAAATCAAACTAAGTTTAATTTTGGACCCTTTGGACCTCAATGAAGACCAATTTAAAAAACGGGACCCAAATTAAAAATCTAAAAACACGGTTAGATTTGGCATATCAAAGAACCCCAATAATTCAATTTTTGATAAAATCAAACAAAGTTTAATTTTGGACCCTTTTGACCTCAATATGAACCAATTTGATAGCGGGGCCTACAAATAAAAAATCTAAATACATGGTTAGATTCAGCATATCAAAGAACCTCATATATTCAATTTTTGTTGAAATCAAACAAAGTTTAATTTTGGACCCAAAATTGGACCAACTTGAAAACTGGGCCCATAATCAAAAATCTAAATACATGTTTAGATTCAGCATATCAAAGAACCCCATATATTCAATTTTTGTTGAAATCAAACAAAGTTTAAATACTGGACCCTATCTTGGACCAACTTGAAAACTGGGCCCATAATCAAAAATCTAAACACATGTTTAGATTCAGCATATCAAAGAACCCCAAGAATTCAATTTTTGTTAAAATCAAACTAAGTTTAATTTTGGACCCTTTGGACCTTAATGAAGACCAATTTAAAAAACAGGACCCAAAATTAAAAATCTAAATACACGGTTAGATTTGGAATATCAAAGAACCCCAATAATTCAATTTTAGATGAAATCAAACAAAGTTTAATTTTGGACCCTTTTGACCTCAATATGAACCAATTTGATAACGGGGTCCACAAATAAAAAATCTAAATACATGGTTAGATTCAGCATATCAAGGAACCCCATATATTCAATTTTTGTTGAAATCAAACAAAGTTCAATTTTGGACCCCAATTTGGACCAACTTGAAAACTGGGCCAAAAATCAAAGATCTAAATACATGTTTAGATTCAGCATATCAAAGAACCTCATATATTCAATTTTTGCTAAAATCAAACAAAGTTTAATTTTGGACCCTTTGGACCTTAATGTAGACCAATTTGAAAACTGGACCCAAAATTAAAAATCTAAATACACTGTTGGATTCGGCATAACAAATAAATAAATGTGATCAAAGATTTTACAAATCTAATGCGCCATACTGTGCAATTAAAGATTTCTTCTTGAAATTTTACAATATTTGAAATTTGAAAAAAAAATAATATTTGAAGAATAATTTTTTTAATTTCTGAAATCTGAAATGAGAAAAAAATTGACCACCCACAATTTCTTTTTATCCCCCCCCCTTTTTTCCCCCAAAAAATTCTTTCCCTCAAGATATGGTCATAATCTCAATTCAAATTTCCAATGGAGTTGGCAACCATAATTACCCATTTAAATTTACCATAGTGCTAACTTAATCTATTTTATAATAGAATTAAAAATATAGTGTCAAATCTTTCATATGGATTTTTTTGTAAAAAAAAAAGATGCAACATTTGCAGATACTTTTACTGGTCTTCCTTTATAAATATGCATTTCTTTAAACATAATTTAAAAGCAGTGTAAGGGAAGTAACCAAAACGTTGTATTTGGATTACCTCCCTTACACTGTTTTAAATTATCTTTATTGTTCATTAACCATTACTTTATACATAATTTAAAAGCAGTGTAAGGGAGATAATTTCAATGATGTATTTGATTTATCTCCCTTACACTGCTTTTAAATTATGTTTTGTACTAAAGTATTTGTCCATTAACCAGGACAACCTTGTTTTTCCCCCTTTTTTGCCCCTAATTCCTAAACGGTTTGAGCCATAACCCCCCAAAGCAAATCCTAACCATCCCTTTGTGGTATGGAAACTTGTAGTATAATTTCAGAGCGATCCATACACCGTTCCACAGTTATTGTCTGGAAACTAGAAAATGCTTATTTTTGGCCCCTTTTTGGCCCCTAATTCCTTAACTGTTGGTACCATAACCCCCAAAATCAATCCCAACCTTCCTTTTGTGGTATTTAACCTTATGGTCAAATTTCAAAAAGATCCATTTACTTAAACTAAAGTTAGAGTGCGAAAACCAATGTGTCTTCGGACGACGACGCCAGACGACGACGACGACGACGACGACGACGACGACGACGCCAACGTCATACCAATATACGACCACAAAATTTGTTTGCGGTCGTATAAAAAACGATTGACACAAAGCACCGAAATAGAGTATTCGCAGTTATTGAAAACTAGTTCAACGCCAATTACAACTTATAGATAAATCAAATTCTACAAAGATGTCTTACTATATAAATCCTTTAATTAATTCTTAAATAATACCGGTCTAGGGAAGGTATGTCCTCAACACCAAGTTCCCAAACTGTTCCCCATACACAGCTTCCTTTGGCAGGTGCTATAGTTGCAACTGCACCATTCCATCTTGATGTTTTCGGATTTATCGTGATAAAGAATGTTAAGCTAAAATTCTAAATATAAAATTACATGTAGAGATGAAAATAAAGCGAATCTAAATAGTCTTAAATTCGTTGTTTGGTGTTTATTTTTGCATTTCAATATTTGTATCGCCTTTATTGTTGTGTTAATTTTGTTGTATAAAATTGATTTGTTTATGACTGTTCAAGTTCAGCGCCGAATATAACATATCTTTATACTAGACGGACACGCTGAGTCGTTTTTTTTTACCAGAATAGAAGATACAGTCAACAGGAATACATGTTACCCAACTTCCGAGACATTGATCTGACTCAGAGCCAACAATGCAGTCTTGAGAACGTTTACTCCTAAACGCACCCTGTTTAGTGGAAAAGCAGCAAAAAGCAATTTTAAAAACATTTGATTTGAGGGATCGAACGTATGTTCGTGTCATGAATAAACCTTTCTGACTAGACTTCAAATTCAAGAACTACGAAGTAAGTAAAGATAATTGAATGGATTCATTAAACAATGAACCAATTGAGTTAACTAGGAGATGCTCACTGTGCCAGAAATCGGTAAAAAAAATAGGGATTTTTTTTTATTGGGATGTACACATTTGTTTCAAGAATATATATGCAATATTTCAAATGTTTTTTCTTAGACGGGTGATTACAGAGACATAGAACAACTGTTTTACATGTCTCTTAATGGTGAAAAGTAAAATCACAAAAATACTGAACTCCGAGGAAAATTCAAAACGGAAAGTCCCTAATCAAATGGCAAAATCAAATGATAAAACACATCAAACGAATGGACAACAACTGTCATATTCCTGACTTGGTACAGGCATTTTCAAATGTAGAAAATGGTGGATTGAACCTGGTTTTATAGCGCTAAACCTCTCACAAGTATGACAGTCGCATCAAATTCCATTATATTTACAACGATGCGTGAACAAAAACAGACATAATAGGTAACATTGTCAAAATATGGGTACATCAGTCATCACTGTGTCACAATCTCAAAACAAACAAACATTTAACAAAGAAGCACATAAAGCATCTATCAAATTTAACAATGTTTGACGCCAGAAAATGTAAACGTCACACAGAAAGAAAAATAAAATAATTTTGTCGTTCAAAGTATTTTCAAAATTATAATTTCACATGGGGAATGGTGGTATACAGGGTTGAAAATCAAAAGTTTTTGTTAGAACTTATTTCAGAAAAAGACCGAGATTTAAAATTATCCAGAAGTTCTTTAGAATTTTTAAGAATCCACATATGGTTGATACCACTACGCGAGTAAAATAATTTTGTCGTTCAAAGTACTTTCAAAATTATAATAGAACAATAACATAATGGTATTATAATAGAACAATAATAAAATGGTGGGATCTTTGAAAGTACAGAGCCACGTCATATGTACCAAAGAAACACATAAAGTCACACGTACAAAACACACCAGCAAAAATGAAAGATAATACAAACACATTGACGGGATGTTTAAGTACCGAGCCACGTCAAATGGATATAACAGAAAACATACCAAACAGTAAAAGTGATATTAATAATAGAACAAAGACAAATAAAAGAACAATATAACACGTTATTAAGATGACAAGCAACGTCAGTACGCAGAATCTATACATCAAGACCATCATGTATTATTTTTGAAGTTGATACGGAATATTTATCAACAAGGTCTTGGTACCTTCCGATGAACTTTTTTAGAAAAAGGACGAGACGTTCTTTGACATACCCCTGGTTCGTCAACTTTCTGCTCAGACACTGGTGACGTTTTACAATGTCTGAGTAGGAGCTGCAAGCTCTTGAATATCGAATAAGTTTATAGTTAATTCTGGGACCTAATATACAATTACATAGGTCCAAGATTAACTTCGAGAAAGTTGAGTATCGGATATCACGTACCAATGCTTGATAATTTGAAATTGTAGAGGTGTTACGTTTGATATTATGTGTGTTTTGACATCCCCAGCCTTAAAAAAGGCCGTTTCAGAGAACTTTAAAAAGATCGCGGATTTAAAAAAAAAAAAACAATCCAAAAAAATAGACGATCTTGGGTCGAAGTTTTTCAAACATGCGATTTTTTTTTGCCGTTAAAGTTTTCTCAAAACCGCCGTGTTTTTGTTACACAATAAAAACAACATAATATGCTTTATTTCAAAAGTGAAAACTATGTTCTACGCATTAAAGCTTTAAACTTGTAGATTTTTCCTTCTGCGGAACCCTCCTCGGTTGCCTCAGTGGTGGCGAATACGAGTAGGATTATATGGGAAATAGTATATGTATAATATCTATAGTATGTCCTAAATACATGCCTTTGCGAATGACAACACAAAAGGATGCATCTTAGAATTAAAAGTAGTTAAAAATATAAATACTAAATCTAAATATAAATCACAACGCAATTTCTTACTTTCCATTTATTCATTTTTTTTTCACTGACGCGCACTTTTGAAATTTACGCTTAATTTGCTTAAATTTTCAGTGTTCAATAGTAGATATTTGTTGGGCGAGTGGAGTATATGATGTTAATGTAAATCTACCAGTGTAGCCTGTAGCACTACGTAGATGTACTAAATTTAAAAGGGCACGTGAAAACTAACGATAAGGTGTGTTCGTTTAACCAGTGTGCATAAACTGTATAAAAAGTATACCCCATAAGGATCAAGTCACATATTTACATCTATGCCATTAAAAGTAGACCTATACATCTTGGAATGTAAAGGCTATCTTACCATTAACTTAGCTGTTGTTTTATAAACTGCAGTTGGGTTCTTAAGCTGAAGTCGTTGTTTTAGTAAGTTGCTTCCATAAGCAAAATATAAGAACTTTTCTGAAATGATACATTGATACTTGCGATAATTCTTGTGATGCTTAAAGACCCTCATCACCCCCCCCCCCCCGAAAAAAGAAGCAATAAAAAAATTTACACTGCATGAATTAAATATATAATAAAAGTATCATTCCCCCTTGCAATTTTTAGCAGTCTTATTTTGCTACTTTTAATGTCAGCCATATGTTATAAATGAACAGCAGTCATACTTTTAATCGGTTGTCGAATGAAATCAATTTAGAGTTAACTAATAGCGAGTTTAGATGCGTTAAAACTTGGCTTAGGACTACAACCTCTATTGGTCCCAGATACTTGACTTGTCAGGACAGAGTAACTATATAGCAATCGTTAATATGGATAATTAGATGTACAAACACAGTTATAAATAACAATCATTTAGCTGTATGGGCAAGAAGTATACCGGAGAGCCTGGAGTAGTGACCCTCATCTGGTGAATCAATAGAAGAAGAAGAATTGCGAGTATTTGCATATTAGGAAATTTCATAAAAATACTGCAAAACATAACAGGTACGACATTATAAACTATACAGCCATGGCAAGTACTGATCAGTACTAGCTATAGTAAGCTAGCTCATTCGTCGCATCTGATAAATTAAATTGATTAACGTGATTGGTGCATTTTATTTCAACTGTAATATTTGGCATGTAAACCTTTAAATTGGTGAAAAGTGAAGTGGGAAACAACTGTCAGTGTCGTTTTATTGAGTTTGCTTGGTCTTTGACAAGTTATTTAATTTCAGACTAAGGTAACAATTTCTGACCATAACAATTTCCTATTAAAGATTAATAACTTAGATTTTCGGTCTTTGGATTATTTACCAACACATGCATTTGGACAAAATGTAGTTACAGGTCGTTGGAAAAACCAGCGAGTGCGTCTTATCCTTACTATTTTACTTTTTATAATAGAGTGGTGGGTCAAGTTCTGGTACATTTTTTTTTAAATATTTGGTAGAATAATTTATGAAAACGTGAAACACATTCAAAAGATAGCATTCATCCTTATTTAATACTGAAAACAATAAAACTTTAGCCGATATCTGATCCTGATCATATAAATATCTACCTGCAGGCATTGCTAACATTACGTGTATATAGATCCAAAACCTCAACTATATATATATATAATTAAAAGGAGCGTTTGAATAACCACCTCGAATATTAATGACAGTAGTCTAAAAATATTAGTGACATGATAAAATCAGAAGCAACGGATGTTGTTATCATTAGAAAACTACAAATATTGATAGGTAACTATGTTAAATACTTTAATAACGGTTTATTCCGCCGGCTAATGGTTTTGTCAGTATAAATGGAAGCAGATGACCCATTTAGTAAAAAAAAGACCTACTCCAGCATACTAGCATGATACATAGAAGGTACATAGCTACTGTCAATCTGCAAGCCGAAATATCTGAAATCAGTCCGGCAAAGTCTAAAATCCTCTGGTCAAACTGATAGTTCAGTATGGTTCAAACTAAAAACATATTCATTCAGGAGACTATTTAAGTATTTGTGTGTCAGAGAATAACTTAATTTTACTAAAATGCTTAAAGTTTTTAAAATAGAAAGTTGATAGCTTTGATATGTATACCTCAGCAAACAAGCAAAAATACAGATATTGTGAAAAACAGATTATTTGGTGATCGATTATTGGAAAAGGAAAGAACTCATGATCATAGTATACAAATTCAGAATGTTGAATAAGGTATATTTTTTATCAGTTTTAGGATTAGTTGCTTGCTATTGGTTCATGGTAGTATACCCTCTCCACACTAGCGGTAAATAGAGAACTATATTTAATAAGGTACGTGTGTCCGTTTGTTGCAACTTTTAATTCGTAACTAGTGGATGGATTAAAATAAAACTTTTCTGTTAATCTGCCACCCGAAAGTGTGTCTGTCTGTTGTAGATATAGTTGCTTGCAATTGGTTTAGTCTTGTACTCTCTCCACTCTCGGACAGGTTTGTATGAGAACAAGGAGGAGAAAATCCAAAATTGCTAAAACATGATAGAGGGACAAAATAAGACAATGCGGTTAAAATACTTATCGCGTTTTTCCTTGTCTGTTTAGCTATTTCTTTTGCATTTTGGTTCTTATTTTGAAAACTATAACACATAGACAGAAATTATAAATATATACTGAAGACAATGCAATGCAATACAAATAAGTATGTATGGTTAATCGAAATAATTCACTATCAGAATAATTGCCCTTAAATGATGATTGGTTTAGGGTTGTACCCTTTACTAGCTAGCGGTAAATGGAGGACTTTCTTGATTAGGGGTTCCGTCCGTTTAATTTACATAATAACTAGTGGAATTAGTTGCTAGCTATATGGCTGAAATACACTAACAGTAAATTATACTTTATTATAAGAATCATTGCCCTAAAATGACGATTGGTTTAGTTTTTTTTTTTACAATTAATGCCCCTTAATGACGAATTTTTTAGCTATTATTTTGAAAGTGTGATATAGAGAGAGACAGAGACTGTGAAGAGCAAAAATGATCAGATTACAAGATCTACAATAAATTCAAAAACCTTAAAGAATTATTGCCCTTAAATGATGATGTCTCCCCTATTTTGGCATTTGTCATAATAGAAAACATCTGACGCCACAATGGAAAAGTGATTGTTGTATGACGTCAATAGTTCACGCGGTGCAGATTCTCGGGTCAAGCGGCGCAGATTTCCAAATAGCAATAAGGTGTGACGATTTTTAGCTCAACTGACCCAAAGGGTCAAGTGAGCTTTTCTCATCACTTGGCGTCCGTCGTCGTCCGTTAACTTTTACAAAAATCTTCTTCTCTGAAACTACTGGGCCAAATTGAACCAAACTTGGCCTAAATCATCCTTAGGGTATCTAGTTTAAAAAATGTATTTGAAGTTCCCGCCCACCAACCAAGGTGGCCGCCATGGCTAAAAATAGAACATAGGGGTAAAATGTAGATTTTGGCTTATATCTCTGAAACCAAAGCATTAAGAGCAAATCTGACATGGGGAAAAAATGTTCATCAGGTCAAGATCTATCTGCTATGAAAATTTTTCAGACAAATCAGACAACCCGTTGTTGGGTAGCTGCCCCTGAATTGGTAATTTTAAGAAAATTTTTCAGTTTTTGGTTATTATCTTCAATATTATTATAGATAGAGATAACCTGTAAACAGCAAGAATGTTCAGTAAAATAAGATCTACAAATAAGTCTATATGACCAAAATTGTCAATTGAATCCTTAAGGAGTTATTGCCATTTCAAAGTAATTTTTTTCGTTAATTTTTGTAATCTTTTACAAAAATCTTCTCCTCTAAGACTACTGGTCCAAATTTAACCAAACTTGGCCTAAATCATCCTTAGGGTACCTAGTTTAAAAAATGTATCCAATGATTCCGCCCATCAACCAAGATGGCCACCATGGCTAAAAATAGAACATGGGGATAAAATGCAGTTTTTGGCTTATATCTCTGAAACTAAAGCATTTAGACAAATCTGACATGGTTAAAGGGTGTTAAAAAAACATTTAAAGCATTTCCAGCATTATACAGGCTCTGTGTGAAATAAATTTTGGAGCGGAGGAAAGGAAATTTTGCATTTTTTGTTAATTATCTTGAATATCATTAATAGATTGAGATATACTGTATACAGCAAAATATCAAGCAAAGAAAGATCTACAAATAAGTCAACATGACCAAAATTGGCAATTGACATCTTATTGGAGTTATTGTCCTTTAAAGTCATTTTCTGCAATTTATTGGTAATTTTTTAAAATCTTTTCAAAAATCTTCTGCTTTTAATTTAACTACTGGGCCAAATTAAACCAAACTTGGCCTCAATCATTATTAGGGTATCTATTATGATTTTAACCCTATTTTACATGATTTGCAAAACCACAGTAGATAAGATAAGATAAGATAAGATATTTTATTTCCAATTATGGGACCCAAAGGGCATAAACATTACAACATCAATAATTTTTCATAATACAATTCAAACAATGAGATAAAGTAGATACAAGTGAGCGACACAGGCTACTTGAGATAGAGAGAAACTGTAAACAGTAGTCTACAATGTTGAAGAAGCACATAGACCTAGGTGAGCGACACAGGCTCTAAAAGAGCCTCTAGTTATTTTTCTGTTCGAATGGCTTTTGAGGTTTTTCAAAGCATTTTCTATGCTAGGGTTAGCACCCCATAACTTCTATTTTTCTAAAAGCACCGAAAGTTTCTAGTATAAATTTAAGGTAGCACGTGTCATTGTGGACCTCTTATATTATTACTATAATTGTCCCCATCGCTCGATCTTGCAGCAATAATTATAAAATGGTCTCCATCCATCTGAAACACATGAATACTAATAGACCATTTGACAGAATACTTGCATACATGGTTGAATTATTTGTCGTCATATTCACTTGACCATACAATACTGTCATTTTGATTAAAATGATGTTTTACATGAGTTATGGGACTTTGACATTTTTTTTAGTAATATAATAATTACACTTTATGAATGCTTCTACTCTGAAACCGTTTTACAGAAAACTTCCATACCTTGCAGGATTATTTCCCATCATGTGCAGTTGACCACATTGTACGTCCTTTTTTATTCAACCATTTTTACATAAGTAATTGGACTTTGACCATTTTTTTTTTAATTTGAAAAATTACACCCTGTGAACGCAACTCCTCTGATACCATTCGACAGAAAGCTCTCATACTTGGCAGGATTGTTTAACACAGTATTTGACCTTGTTGAATAGTCAATTTGATTTGACCATTTTATAGGAGTTAAGGGACTTGAGCTTTGACTACTTTTGGACTTTCTTAACACAATGACACATTGTGAATGCATCTCCTCTCTGAGTCTGCTTGACAGAGAGCCCTCATACTTGGCAGAATTAATTGTTTGCCACCATATGTTATTTTTTAAATATTTTACTGTAAATTTGGTTTTATGATTTGTATGAGATCGAGTCACAGGCACTAGTCTCATAAGTTTTTTCCTATATACCTTAATATAATATTAAGGTATATAGGAAAAAAAAGTCCGAGACTAGTGCCTGTGGATCGAGTCATGTAACTTTCAACTGGCATATTTTTGACTAATGAACTACAATGACAACTTGTGAACACACCTACCCTGAGATCCGTTTGATGTGAGAAAGCGAGTCTCATACTTGGTAGGATTGTTTGTGATCGTGTGCTGTTGACCATATTGTACCGTCATTATGATTCCACCACTTTAAGGGAGAAATGGCACTTCGACTATTTTTTAGACAATTATATATGTTCTGTCTATGGAATGATAGGAACAAATGCAAAAAGATCGAATATATGTTAGTTCATGTTCAACAATTCTTTACTGTAAAAAACAATTGTGTCCCTTATTTACACAGCGCGGGAAATATTTTGATACGTTATCATTATTGGTGTCCAGTCCTTTCAGTACCTATTGAACAGTATACCTCTTTTGCCTTGTTGTTTACATGAATGAGCCTCCTCATGGGGTTTTTGATAATGTGATTACTTGGCTGTTTTTACAGTGATTATTTGATTACCATTACAAATATTTCATGATTATTTGATAATCTAGGACGGTATTTTTGATTATTTGATTATCTTGTTTAAAATATAATTAATGATTATCATGATTATGTGATTATATTGGCAAACAATTTGTGATTATGTGATTACTTGGACACCCCATGAGGGGCCACCTGAATAACTTAGGAGGTATTCCCATAGCAAATAAAACCCAACTTTTTTTTATATAACCTTAATTAACAAATTTAAACATAATTGAATATTGAAAAAAAAAAAACGAATATAGGTTTTGGAAAATGTTAGCAACAAACGTACATGTACTTGGTATGTGCTCCTAACTTAACACGATTGCTATATGGAAAACATTCAAACTAGAGACATTTTGATAATCTTGTAATCTTTGGAAAATCCGGCTTTGTAGCATTGGAGATGAATTTCATTATCTGCTAGAATATCCATTTTAAACGACAGTAGGAAATTCTACAACATCGAAAAATACTATTTGGCTCGTGTAAATACATTAAAGCTTCAAATACTGATGACCCAATTAAACAAAAAGTCAGAGCGAAAAAGATTGTG